TAAGCTAGCCAGTAAAGATGAAAAAAAATTCAAGAGACATTCTCTCTGTGCGATAATGTGCTATTATACAGTGAATGGGTGGTAATCCTAACACACTTCAAAAAAGAATATTGAAAGACTTTCATGCTGGTCACCCGGCATAAATAGAATGAAGAGCCTCATGAGAGCATCGTCTACTGGCCAGGTATGGACAACGACATAGCGTCTATGGTCGGCAGATGTAAAGGCTGCATTTGGCATCAAAATCACCACAAATTTTACAGAAGCCATGGCCAAAAACCGACAGGCCATGGTCAAGGATTCACATTGATTTTGCGGGTCCAATTGACGGATGGCATTATTTGGTCGTGAGTCGACAGTTTTAGTAAATGGCCCAAGTTTTTCAAATGAAGAGGCCAACATCTCAAAATACAATAAACAAATTACATGAATTATTTGCAAGGTTTGGGGTGGTAGATACTGTTGTTAGTGACAACGGTACCCAATTCACAAGCAAAGAATTCACAGAATTCTGCCAAAATTTCCAAGTTGATCACGTGAGGATTCCTCCGTATCACCCACGCAGCAACAGACTAGCCGAAAGGTTCGTCGATACACTGAAAAGAGCTCTTAGGAAAGCAACAGGTATCCCGACTAGAAAGGCGTTACAGCTGTTCCTGCAAGTGTACCCGATTACCCGAAAAAATCTGCCCCATCAGGCCTATCACTCATGGAACTAATGTTTGCAAGAAAGGTCAGATCGGTTTTGACAAATTGATACCAGAAAATAAGGTACACTCAACGAGTCGCTATGGTTCCCAGGCGAAAATTTAACATTAATGAAAAATTTTTTTCAAAAATTATACAAATAATGCATCATCATGGGAACCAGGGTCATAAAAAAACGCATTGGGGATATGGTATACATTATACAAGGAAACAAATTTACACACAAACGGCACATTAACCAGTTGAAGAAAAGAAAGACCTTTAATCGGAAGTAATTCCACAAGAAGACGAATTACGAATTGTTTGATACGTTTGACCTGCAAATATGGCAGACTGAGCAGAAACAACGAGATCTGCAAGAAAACGTAAAAGTGACACAAAATTTAATAATAGACCCGAAAAGGAAAAATATTAATTTTTTTTTTCTCCCCACAATGAAAAGAAAAAAAAAAAAAAAAAACAATTTTAGCTGGGGGTGTTGGGGCGCACCCACCTTCTAACTAGTAATGGACTGGTCCCTCTTATATAAGTCAGCTCTGGAGAGAGAGTGACAGAGCGTCAGAGAGAGAGTCAGCGTGAGCAGTCCAAATAAGCTTACCCGGTACATACCGTTGGACTATAGACTTTGGATATTGTTTCGTACTAACCAACCTTCGTTCTACTAATCACTCTATTGTTAATTGCTTTTATGAATATACCAGTATTTTCCTCTACAACTGTGTTTGTCTTGATTCATACACCGACACGCGGGAAACTCACAACATCTCAACACAAACTTTAAGTCGAAGACTTCTTCAGGCAGCAAATTATGGAATTCTGACAAAGCACTTGACTCCCCCCCCTCTCTCTCTGTATGTATATAGAGATTTTCAATTCTTCCACTTTGCAATTTCATCAGGGCTTAATTCATCTGCTCAATTTATCTAATAATCTGAAACAAAGCATGAGGCAGGAGTTCTTCATAGCAGCAAATCACATGGTGTAATGGAAGCACATCTCTGCCTCAACTGCTGCTCTCTCTGCCTTCTTTTCTTTCTTCTTGCTGTTCTGGGATCTCTGCATGGCTATTTATGCTGTCCAACCTCCAAATACCGGGTTGGGGTTGGCTTGTTCTGGTATAGCTCTGAATCTCTTGTCACCCAATCAAATTTCTCTACAGGTGCTACTGGGTAGCCCTTGTATGTTCAAATATGGGGAGCCCCCTTCTCTTGCTTGCACCTCACACTAGTACCTTTCAATGGGCGTATTGATTTTCCTCCCACTTCCTCATATTAGCTTCTCACACTGCCACCATCCAGGGAATAGGTGTTCCACTGTGAACATCTGAAATAAAACAGATGTTATTTTTAATGTCAACATAAAATTATTATCTGCATTCCATCAACCCTAATTATCATGTTTGGTCTGTAACTCTTCCTCTCTTTCCCACTTGACTGAAATTTTCTGGTTTGAGAAAATTTTATTCTTTAGTGACATGCGTATCCTCCACCCCTATCAACAAGTGACATAGAATCATTTCTTTACCCTTTTCCTCACCCACCTGTAGCCATAAACTTATTATCTATGACTTGCTTGGTGGTCTCTGTCCAAAATCACACTGCCCTCATCTTGTCCCCTGGGCTTCACTTTAACCAGATGCCCAAGTGGATTTCAGTGCTCTCTTCTAGCAAGGTCCTTATTCACAAAATGAGAAACAAAAATAAAAGTATGTTTTCTTTTGTTTTCAGTATGTCCTTCAATCTATCTACTACTTTCTTCATCTTTGGGTTCACTTTCGATTTAATTGAAGCCATTTTTTTTCTTTCTTCAAATTATCAGCATTCTTACAGTGTTACAATATTGTTTTTTTGCATATCTTTTCTTTAAGTCTTTATATATACAAGAATCCAGTTTAAGTTTGCCCTGTGTTTGCGAGAACTATAAAAATATCACAAAGTCAAACACTTCAAAAAGTTGGAATTTGGCTCCAGAAAGAAATATTTATGCATGGAAGTTGTATGTTGCATGCTTAAGAGTAAGAAATCCTATGAATTTATTCTTCACTGTTAAAAAGGAAAAAAAATTTTCTTAAAGAATATTATTGACCATGAAGTCCGACAAAATTAAGTTAAATTAAAGAAATTATTAAACTGCAAAGTAGGGATTTTATGACACTATTATGAAGGCTCTGATAAATTAGGAAAAAGACTTTCAAAATAAACTGGAAAACAAGAAAGAAAAATGATGTTTTCCAATAGACTGAAAATATACTGATAACAAGAAAAACTAGAGAAATGCTGTTTTCAATAAACTGAAAGTCTACTGATAAGAAAGACAAAGGGGGGGGAGGATTTTCTTTCCTTTCTCTCCCCACCTTGGTGTGTGTATGTCGATGATGACATGTGGTCAATTTAATCTTAAGTGATGGTATTTTTCTTAAGTGCCCACTTGACCTGCATGGTAGAATAGATTACATTTTAATGACTTCAAGTATCCACAACGGCTAGGAATGAATTTCGAGCCAAAATTCAGTCAGTTGATTAGATTAGGAAAACAGGAATGGCATTGTAGTTTGATTTTTTCTTTGCCTAAGAAGAGATAAAATTTATTAAGAGGAATTGTCTCTTTTTGTCACTTGTTGACCAAAAAGCTGGTGTGGAGAAGCGACAGGTAACAAATCCCAGATACAGCTGACAACTCAAGGAGGCAATATGAATTACCTGCTGATAGAAAATTTGGATAATAATTGAATTTAGCATTTTGGACTAGACCACACCTAGCCTCAGGGGACAGGTTTGATCAGGAGACAGAGAGAGAGGCAAAAGGCCTAGGTGAAATTTCAAGGAAGACAGGAATTGACTGCACCCCTTGGACAGTGAAGGTGAGAGGCACTTGCACAAGATGGAATGAGTTGGGCAGATCAATATTCTGCCACCACCACTCTTTGAGAGATAGATCTCCCCAAATTTGGTCAAGCAGTCAATTTCCCAACCAAATCATGCCCCACACCGTGTTTGTGCAAAGGTCCATAAATATAGATGAGCAAAGCAAGAAGACAGTATGGGGCATTGAGAAAAGAAAGAACCAGACAACCTGAATTGAAGAGAGACACATGCCACTTGGTTCTAGACTCACTTTACTAAACCCTACGTGGATTCTGCAGAAAGAACTTAGACTCCCTTCTTGTTCTAGACTATCAAATATATTTGAATGGTCAGCCTGAAGAAATCACAGAGTGGAAGAAATCAGACTTCAGCCTTGTACCAGTTTACTGAGCGTGACTAGACATAGTGTCACAGGGTATTAAGGGGGAAGGTGTTGGAAGTCTGCATTCTGCTAATCTTATTAAGTAAAAAGAATATGGTAAAGTTTAACTTAAATACCCACAAAAAATGTCATGTCAAAAGGGCAGTTTTTCTCTTGATGCTGATGTTACTGTATACTCACAAAGTAATTTTTATTGTTTTAAAAAGCTATTTTTATAATGGAATTGGGAGAGTGGAGATTCTGAGGTGTGTGGAACTACCTCTTAATTGCTGTTGTTCCCAGGTCCACTGTTACCTGGGGTGGTAGCACCTGCTAGGGTCCCAATTTTGGGGCAAATAGTGAAATCCTAAACAAAACACTATGAAAGTACATTTTTATAATAAAATTACCAGAAGTACATTTTCATATTATAAAATTACTAACAATACCTATTTATAGCAAAATGACTAACACTACATTTTATCTGTAGTTGAAGGCATACAATTGCATTAAAAATATATTTAGCTGAAGCCATAAAATTGTGTTCCAAATATTTAGATTTCGGCATTAAATAACTCACTGAGGTTGACATGCCACTAAACAAAATTAACTAAACAACCAACATGAAAGAACTCTTTCATAACATTAATCCAAATAATATACTGCAATTTCTTAAAGAAATAAAACTCTATTCCAAAATATAACTTCAACAAAACTACAACATAAAACACATGAATCACTACCTCTAGTAATTATGTCCATACAAACATATATATACAGAAAATCTGAGTATCATCTACCATGCATTCAATTGTGAAAGCAGAATAACATATCATATTTTTATTACTTCAAAGCACCCAAAAATCAGTTTTAAATGACCCATAAGTAGTTGATATTCTGTTAAATGAAAAAAAAAATTGTAATGGAACGTTTGTTAAACTTTGCCAAGAATATAATTAAATATATTTTGATTTATTGATCTTTTCTTTCCTCAAATTCTTACCAAACTGTTGGAACTTCGCTACAGATTTCTAATAATAAGTTAAGAATTCTGTTTTTGTTGACAGGACTTGGACTCTTGGATGCTTTTACTTATATCCAAAAAGAAGACTCAGATGAAGATCTTAATATTCAACTAGAGGTAAGTTTACTTATATACCATGTTTTTAATGTAACCTCAGAATGTGCAGGTGATGCAATGGATGACAGCTCAAAATAAAAAATTGGAGAGACCAGTTTGAATTCCAGTTGAGTTCATTACCTTCATATATGTGCAAATACCACTGGGGAAAGTTATGAATCCATCACCTCTCCCCCTCCGCTATGGGTCAAATAGTAGTTATTGTTATTCCCCCCAAATTTTAATGCAATAGTCACTTGAAAAAGTAAAGAAAAAATCAATCTTTCAATGAAAATTATGTTTCTGTTTTAAATAATCCACAAAGCGTTGATAAGCCATAAAAAAGAAATCAATCAATCCTCCTGCCCTCCACCCCCCACCATGTGGAAATTAAATTCCTGTATTTCTTAATGGAAAGATTTTAACCTCAGACTTTCTCTCCTCTGTCTGACTTTAGCATTCTGCAATTATTTTTTTGTTTTTGCTCATCTAATACGAGGTCCAAGAGCCACTCAAAGTAGAGGTCTACTAAATGAGGTTGTTGTGATTGCATACAGGAAAGGGGCAAAAGGTGTATATTATGAGGATGTGTAGGATAGATAACTAGACTCTAGAATCGAAGACGTTAAGTTTGTAGTGATCAGGGAAGCATCCTCTCACAATAGTTCTGTGGAACATGTGTGAATGGAACTTCTTCCTCACTAATGCAATATAAAGGGAATGAGAGTGAGTCAGTTCAGTGTATAGGGCATGGTGGGTCCTAACTTTGAAGGTTTGGACTAGTGGAACCAAGGAATGTAGTTACCTGAACATCTGCTTTGAAAATAGTGATAGAATAACAGGAGGATAACAGTATTTTTTTATGTGGGAGAGGGGTTGTAGGGTGGAAATAATCCATCACCCTCAAGGCTGTGGAAATGCTTTTGAACACTATCATGGCTGGAAAGTGAAGGTTGGGCAGCTGCAGCCCAGATGTGGCAAATGAGTAGTAGGTGGCAATATCACAGTAGTAGTGGGAGTAGCCAACAATATTTGTGTGTGTGTGTATATATACATGTTTAATTAAAGATGACTGACAAGGTACTGCAGTTAAGCTTTTTATTTATTTTTTCTTGTGTTCTTATAAGTGTTTTCTTTTATGGACATAAAGTGTGTAAAAATTGTCCAAATATTCTGCATCTCTGAGTGCTTTCAGCTATTCTTCTAGACATTATGAAGGGCGATTTTTATTTTAATGTCTACTTTTATAATATTATATATATATATATATAATAATGGACTCTCCCATTGGTTTCAACATATGAGGATCTGATAGCCTAATTGATTCAGTTATGAAATTTTGTGAGATAATCTTAAGTGGCACTAGTGATTTACAGAGGCCACATATGGAGCAAGAATGTGGATTGTGAGATGAGATCACTGTTAGATTGGCTGACCTTTTAGATCTTGCAATCTCTCTATCTATACACACACACACACACACACACTACAGTTCAAAAGTTTGAGGCCACCCCTGGTAATTTTTTAAATTGGCCCCAAAAGTAGTTGTTTTGTACTTTAAATAAGAGAAAATTATTATACATGGTTAAAAAAAAAAGTGAGACATGATTTTTTATTAGAAATTTTATTATGACAAAAAAAAAGAAGCATTTTATGATTAAATTTTGTTCTCGTCAAAATATAATCCTTTAGTCTTGATTGTTGCAGCACAAATTTTTTGGCATTTGTTGCAAAAGTTTCTTAAAGTATAAGTTTGATAGTTGATTCCATTCTTTTTTCAATGACTCTAGGAGCTTTTTTTCATGTTTGGGATGGAAAGGTTTCACTCTTCTGTCAAGTTCATCAAACGCTAATTCAGGGTCTGGCTTCAAACTTTGAAACTGTAGTGTGTGTATATATATGTGTGTGTGTGTGTGTGTGTGTGTGTGTGTATATATATATATATATATATATATATATATATATATATATGTGTGTGTGTGTGTGTGTTTTTTGAAGAACACAGTGGAGCATGACTATAAATATTTACATGATATTTTTTTTGTTTTTTAATAGTCATTTTATGGCCAAAAGTACCAAGATGACGATAAATTAAATATGATGTATGAAGGTGACTTCCAAAGCCCCTCAGAACTTCTGAATATGCTTATTGAAAAGGTAAGACAATCAACAGAAACTTATTCAAACATTGTGAAAATTTAAAAGGTAATCTCTGCTTATTATTTCTAAGAGTAAACCCAGATTATCTACTAGAATGTTATTCAGTTACATTCCTCTTTATAGTTGCCACAGCATGGGGTAGTGGTTAACGAGATAAGTCTGGTTGACTATTACTGCTATGTAGTGAGTTCCATCTTCACTGCATGCACTCTACACAAATTTCCTCTTGCCTCTGGAATAAATTTATAACCTAAATCATTTTATGAACTGGAAAGTTATGGTTAAAATCAGAAGATAAATTTTTTAAAAAGTCAAAGACAGATTTATAAACAAAGTGGAAAATTTAAAATGTTCCAGATGATGGAAATTATACCACAGATTAGTGCAGAGTTTCTCAACTGGTGCAACCGGGTAAACTAATGTGCCCCGAAAGGTAGGTATGTGTGTGTAATACTTCTATCAACATCATGTTTATATACTGGTCATCTACTGACAACCCCATTCCCAAGTGTTGTTTAGCTCCTATGTTTAGCTAGTGTTAGCACGTGGAGCCAGAGAAGGACAAAATACATGAAAAACTGTAGGAACACCAGGAAGAACAGAGAAGGTACTATGACCGTGGTGCTAGTGACCTACCAAACCTCCATAATAGCCAAAGTGTGATAATGCAAAACCGGCAGACAGGCACATAGGAAAAGGCTGTGATTACGGGAACATGCACGGAGCCCAGATCTTACAATGTCTCAACAGAAAACGGCAGCACTATAAGAAGGAACCAATGCCACCTACATCAGATACCTCACACAATGACACAAGAATGTGAATCAGCAGAAAGCAACACCAGTTGCATCCCTGAGCAAAGAACATCATCAGGGAGGGACATAAAAACACCATCACGCCACAAAGACTTTGTGCTAACCAACACAACTGTTACTGCTGAGGACTAGCAGAGTGGATGACATGCTAGCAACTGCTCCCCACCAGAAGTAATGAAAGAAACGCTAAAACATATAAACACACAGAGACAAAGGCACCCAACATTATCATTGCCCACTGTACAAGACACTAACCAAAATAAAGAGGATGTAATACTTATATCAACTTCATGTTAATGTACTGGTCATCTCCTGATGACAAACAAAACCCCATTCCCAAGTATTGATTAGTTCCTGTATTTAGTTAGTGTTACCACGTGGAAAATAAAGATTAAATAAAATCTCAACTGATGCGCCCGGGCAACACTAATGCGCTCTGAAAGGTAGACATGTGTTCCAAATTAACAGGTGAATAATTTATGAATTATTTTTATATTTGAAAAAAAAAACCTTTAATTTTAAAATGCTAGATACACCAAGCACATGTTTTCCATGCTTAAGTCATGTCTTTGTCATTTGATATTTTAAACTGGATACTATATTTTTTTTTAATCTTTAAGGAGTGGATAATCCTTTCCATTTTGTCTCCCTCAAGGGATTTAAATCAGTCACTATCAGCCTTTCTAAAAAAAAAAAGCAGATTCTTCTTAAATCCCTTTGTTATAATCTTCCTAAAATCAAATCTTCTGATTCATGTTGCATAAATTTCTACCACTGGCCGGATGTGAACGCTTTGAAACCCAAAACTAAACTAAAAATTCTGTCAAGTGTGCATTGGCTCTGCACACACCTTCTGCTTTCCTCACACACCCCAAAAAACATACAAGCCAAATTTTTTACCGAATAGCACCCACTCCCGCCTAGAGAAATGAAATAAGAATTGGAGCTGATCTGAGCCAACGAAAAAGACATAAAAGCCTAGGAAAGGGACATCTCGTCAGTTGGTCAGCACAACAACTAGGGTTTGCACGTTCATCAGAACACCACCTCCACATCTGCCCTCCCATCGCCAAAGACAACTCACCAAAGGCTGTCACTGCAGTAAGTCACAACTCGCCCTCCCTCTCCTACTGTATGCCTCTGTGGACGACTTTACTTATCTCTTTCTTTCAACAAGAAACATTCATACCATTTCACCATTGTTGTATTTTTTGTTCTGCCACCAGATGCTTAATGTAACACCTTTAAATGAAAACTGCTCTTTGGGAAAGATAATGAAAGTCTGTTTATCACAGATGAAGCCTAACATTAAAAAAAAGGACAAAAGTATATCAAGTGCAGGTTTCACACAAACATCCTTAAATATACAATGTAATATCTTAAAAATAAATGCCTATTTCAGGAAACTTCTTTATTATTTTCTTAATTTCATGACTAATTATTCCTTATTAAAATTTAAAGTGCACCTCAGAGTTTTAGTTATTCTACAAATGCACGCTGAGCTAAAAATGGTTGAGAAACACTGGAGTAGAGACAAAGATTTAAAGACATTTATTAACCTGTATTTTATTTTATTTTTCCAGATAATTGGAACTCCAAAATATATTTCATTCTTGCATATTTTACAAGATTTATTAAAGCTGGAACTAGATGACGAGCAAATAGACAGGTCAGTGATTTTTTTTATTTATTTTTGTGATTTTTTTATTTATTTTTTTTTTTACTTATATTTGTGATTTTTTTTTATTTTTTTTTTGCGATTTTTTTTTTTTTTTACTTATTTTTGTGATTTTTATTAGTATTTTTCATAAATTAAAACATTTTTATTTATTGTGTGTCCTTTAAAAAATGATATTCAATTGTTAAATGACATTTGGTACATTTACTTTTAACAATTTCAATTAAAAAGATTGCCTTTTATTCTGTTACAATAGCTATTATATCAGCATGCATTTTTTAACTTTTAATTTTTTATTATCAGATTTCTTTAAAAATTATCAAACTTGGTATTTACTCATTTTAATACTGAAGACAGAAATAAATAAGCAACATTTTTGTCAAATTCCTTTATTTTAAAAAAAGGTAAAATTGCAAATCAAAAATAAATGGCGCAAATACTGTTAAAAGTGGTTTGCAAAATCGCATATCAGAGCTTTCCCACTGAACAATGCTCCATGGTTAAGTAGACCATTTCAAATGGATTGCATTTAAATGAAGGATTATCACTTTTGAAAATGTTAGATGATTATTTAGCCATCATATGTCAAATATCCAAATGAAGCAGACAAAATCATTTTCACTGGCTTGGTTATGTTAGCCATTTTGATGTTTAGATTCCAGATCAGTGTAAAAAAAAAATGGAATATGTTTCAACAACATGGGATGCCATGAAAAATGGTAACATGTATCACCACCAAACATACCAAAATGAAAGCCAGTTTTCATCTAAATGTGGTACTGTGTATTTTTATTGGATTATAAGAAAATCCTCTTTTAGAAAGCAGTAGATTTGCTTTTTTGACAAATTTCAATTTTTTTTATGTTCTAACATTGAGAATAGAAGAAAATATGCAAAAATTTTGGAATGTATCTTTTTAAGAAAGATAAAAAATGCTATTTATGGAAAATGTATTAAAATTGGTTTGTGAAGATTTAATCTGGAAGTTTATCACTAATGATGTCCCAGGATTTGTTAATTGTGATTGATAGCAATCGAATGAAGACATTACTTGAGTATAATCAACATTATGTTGTAATGGAATGTCCCACACTCCTTATCGCCTATGTGGACTGACTATGTCAGTAGATATATATAGCGTGCACAGGATATACCTGGCAGACTTGATTCGGGAATTACTAGCCTGTTAATTGATTCCTTGTCTTTCAGTAGTGTATTTTCTTTTACAATAAACCTCTCTTTCTTTCATCTACGCCAGTGTTGCTGTTCCTTTCACTCAAGTACCATCTTTGTCTGTTTGTAACCTTCTTTAAGGATACAACACGTTATGATGTAGAAGATAGCTAAAATACTTGAAATATTCAAATTAAGTGTTGAAAATCATTTGCATAAGTTTGGTTATGTTTTACACTTTGATGTGTGGCTTCAGCATAATTGAAAAAAAATAATTTTCACAATATTGATTATGTTAGTCAATTTGATGTGTGGCTTTGACATAAGTAAAAAATATAATTTTCAAAATCTTAGTTATATCAGTTACTTTGATGCATGTCTTCCACATAATGAAAAATCATTTTCACAATATTGATTATGTTAGTCACTTTGATCTGTGGCTTCCACATAGGTGAAAAAACCCTGCAGCACTGTATTACTGAATGAAATGTAATGAATTTTCTTCTGTTTTTAAAACAAGTTGTGATTGAGCAATGAAATGTGGATCCTTTAAAACAATGTTTGTGTAATTCATGTTGTTGAGAATTAGCTAAAGTATTTGTTAGCAATGATTTCTTTATTTTTCACTGTTTTCTGTTTAAAAAAATACTTTCAATAAGGATTGTACCCCTGAAGAAGGCTCTAGAATTGAGCTGAAACATTGTTCTAGAAACAAAAACAGTATAATAGAATAAGTTCAGTAACTGGAGTAACTTCTGGAATGTGCCATTATTATTACATAAGGATTTATTATCTTTACAGCAATGCTTGATGGACTAGACCAGGGGTTTTCAAATTTTTTGACTTGCAGACCCCTTTATATTTCAGGCTTTACCTTAGGGACCCCCTTATAAACACTTATGAAATTTATACATAAATATTTGCTGAATATAACATATAATTTTGCCTTAATGCAAACGCCTAATAGCCAATGAGAAAGCCGGAAATCGCAAAATAGATCCAAAATTCAAATCCTTTGGTTCCTTCTCTGCATGAATAGAATCCATTATCTTTATCAATTTAAGATACAAACTATATTAGTATATCAAATCAAATAGTTTATTGAATCAATTTATTACATGATCGGCCTATAAGTTACTTATAAGCACTTATGTTTTTGCTGTCCACAGACCCCCTATCTTGTCCTTGCAGACCCCCTCTGCGGACCACAGTTTGAAAACCCCTGAACTAGACTAATGCACCATTACTACTATGTCGTAGATTTGTTCCTCACTAGGTGCACCATACTTGTGATCTTGTGGTAAATCTAAACTTAGAAACTTGTGTTATTTCATGCATGATACAGTAAAATTAAGGATTCTTTTGAGAGATTTAGTTACAAGCATATATACATGTAGTAGTACGCATTGCCAAATGTTCCCAAAAGTTCCTTTTAGTCCTGAAGAGTGTCCCTACCCTCTGAAGATAAGCAGAGTTCTCATGCCATAATAAATATAAAATAACTCTTGTTTCATGCAAGGTTTCTATATTTGGCTACAGTTGAAAGCCTCATGTCACTGAACTTTGACCTTTGCTACTTGTGACATTTACTTGTGTATTTTGAGAATTGATCCACTCAAAAGTTTCATTTCTTATTTTTTTTTTAAGTTTGGTTCATTAAAAATAATAAAATAACTTGATTTGATTTTCTTTTTTCTTTTTATTTGGTTCTCATTTGATTATTTGTTGTTAGAACAATTTTTTCTTTTTCTGTTAATATGGATGAAAAACACAAAATGCTTTAAAATTATTGTCTCTATAAGTATATAAGAAATGCCACGGTTCCAGAAAAGGAATGGCGACTAAGAGAATTAAAAAGGAAGAAACCAATGATATATTTAAGCAAGATAGAGATTAGTAGGTAAAAATTTCTGGTTTGTGGAAGTGAATGGTTCTTTGGGTTTGGAATTCCAATTGATTGATTTGTTTTCTATGGCATATCGACCATTTGCAGGTTATTTAAAGCCAGAAAATATTTTTAGATTGTAAGATTTTTTTATTGTTGGATAATAATGGTTTAGTGATACAAATCTTATTAATTAACTCATAGTTGTGGGGATAGGAGATGGATTAATATCTAATCAGAATTTGATAAGAAATTTTAATGTGTATATTAAGTGAGGGATCAATTTTATAATACAATCCATATATAAATTGAACCCTCACTTTGTGTCCATGGTAGTTTCTGTACATTTATATTCCAGAGAATGTAAATAAATCCGAATGACATGCCTGTGTAGCTAATCAGCATTTCATTGATTTGATTGAGTTGTTTTTTACAGCTTATCAATCCTTTGCAGGTTATTTAAAGCCAGAAAATATTTTTAGATTGTAAGAATGTTTTGGCAGAGAGATAATAATTGTGCACATAAGACTAATGAAACTTTTGGTTAAAGTTTTGTTAAACCCTGTTCAAAAGAAAAATGGAAAATCCGAATCTATTTGGGTGGGGCTCTAAAGGTTTTCTTCACATGTGGGGGTTAGGAGACAAAAAAATTTAGTAATGTAAAAATGCAAGAATGAATCATCTGGCCAAAAATGAGGGATCAGTTTATATATTGATTGTAATATAGAATTGATCCCTCACTTTATATATACATAATTTCCTGTTTGTTTATCAAATTCTGATTAGGTGTGACTCCACCTCTTCTCCCCTAAGCTATGGGTTAATTAGTAAGACAACAAATAATCCATCTTAATGGGAGTAGGAGATGTCAGCTTATCTTCAAGCAGTCTTTGTAAACCCCTCCTTTAACTTGTAAGTCCTCTAGTTCTCAAAATTGAGTAAGTTTGTCTCATTACTTGTGCTCCCACTTAAGCATGATGTTTCTGACCCAAGAAGTTCTGCTGTCTTTATTCCTCAGTAATACCTTATTCATTAACCCTCTATATTGATTGGCTCTTGAGCCTTGTATTGGTGAATACTAGTAAAAATAAATAAATGAATTTGTTGATTTTTATTGAGTTTATTTAACCCTTTATTATTCAACCTACCTAAACCTGCCCCATAAATATCAGCTCTCAATTTTCAAACTGGCATAACCTGCTACATGTCTACTCTGCCATAATATATGACGACATGATTGCAAATAATGCAGGAAGTCACATAAACAGTGAGTCTTTGACCACAAACTTTGAGAGCTGATATTTATGGGGCTAGGTTTGAGTTTGTTGAATGCTAAAAAGCTAAAGAAAAAGACTAATGTTTTGTTTTGCAATGTGAAGTTACACAAACTAACAGGCTTGCAATGTTACTTTTGTTTTTCATTTTTATCTAAAAAAAATATTGTTTTTTCCTTTACAGCTCTGTCAACAAATGGCAATTGATAGAAAACCTTGTTGCCAAAGTTCAACATGGAGAAACACCCCACTGGATGGAACCACGTAAGGCAAAGAAACGGAATGGCAGTGCAAATGTTTTCAAAGATGATCTAGTAAGCTTTTCAAAAGGTTCCTCATCTAATGATGCTATTCTGCCATTGATCAAGGCTCCTGCTGGAACAGAACTTGATCCTTACAGAAATGAAAGAAAAGGCGATGGAAATTACAACAAGCTATCATTGTGGATGTGTTTTACCCCCAGCAAGAAATTAAAACGATTGCAATGGCTGAAGATACCATCAGAAGAAATAGGTTGGTATTTTTGTAAACAAGAATTTTGACCTGGCTTTCAATGACCCCTTTGTAGAAAAGGTAACTTCAGAAATATCGTTCATATCTCATCTATTTTCATTATTTACATTTGGACTAATATCCTCATCTTTTTTGTTATTATCATAATGTTTCGACTGTTGTGCTCTCCATCCTTCTTCAAGTATCTATTGATTTGGGTAACCTTCAGGGAATTTTGAACTGAATCCTTTATTTAATCTACAGTGGGTAGATTGTTCTTGTTTTTCTGTCCATGTCTAGGGATATCTCATCTTGTTCTTTTTTTAGTACTGTTCACTTATCATTCACCCTGTTTCCACTGAGTCTATACTATCCTGACCAGGGATTGAAATCATAATTACTATACCACTAAATTCACAAAAATCAATACTTTAATCCTTTAGGCTATTGTCATGAACCTAATGTTCTTATTGCTTTCTTTGCTGTAACATTTTCTGTTGTGTTTGACTATCTACCGCCACTTCTCTTTCTTACTAAAGCCTTGCTGTCAAGCTTGACTCTCTCTGCTGCCATTTCTCTTTCTTTGTTAATGGCTCCAATATAGTACTTATGTTTATGCTAGGCCTACTGTGGAGGCTGTCATAACCTGGTATATGCACGGATTCTTTCAGGTGACTAATTCTCCACTTGTTCTCTTTCTAATATTTTTATTTCATTCTCCAGGATTTTGTGTGTACCCTTTCCCCTCCATACATGATCTCAAATCACAGTTGGACTTCTGTATAAAAATTTTGCATATATAGCTCATGATATCAATGTGATGAAACATTTGTATTGCAAATGATCTAAAAATTTCCAGAATTTCTCTATTAGAAAAAAAAGAGTTTTCTATTTAGTCTTTTGTTTTCCAAAAAGGGTGCACAGAGAATGTTTACACTCATGCATACACATGCACAGATATGTGTGTGCACATACACACACACACACACTCATACTCACCGAATTAGTATTTTACAATAAACAAGAAGATATTTTTCAATATATAAAGGCAACATCATTTTTATGAGGTTCCAGTTCGTAACAGTTAATGTCATTTGTCTGAAAACTGGCTTTACTGAAATTGTTAAATGAAATTTTCACTTCGTCAAAAAATTCATATATAGAAAATGAAAGGGAGATAACTATTAAATCTGAGTAGTGCTTTTCTTAAATTATATATCATTAAAAAATCACTCTCATTAATTTTATTGATGCTTATTTACAATACAGGAGGTCCTTGACATACAACTGACTTCTGTTCATATGATGTGTCATAATGCAATTTTTCATCCATGGCATAATGTACCTGCAATTTTCCTTGAATAAGCACTTATGTTACTCACCTATACTAACACAATAGTTAAGTAATAATCTATGATATAACACAATATCTCTGACAGAATATGTATGACATAATACAATAATTAAGTAATTATCTATTACATAACACAATATGTATGGCATAACACAATAATTATATAATAATCTATGACATAACACTAAATAAAGGGTTTAGTTTGAAATTCCAACATATATCACCTGAAGAAGGCAGGAGTGTACAATGGCTGAAACACTGTGAATATGACAATAAAGATGAGGACTACAGTTTGAACAATGTAAATTGTTACAATACTTCACCTCAGAAATATAGACAGATGGTAACTCGTAGCTGATGAGAGAAAAGGTGGTTTCATACCTTTCCCAAGGGTAATTGTGCACAAGTAAATCTAATGAACCCAATGTATCCCACTCTGTCCTACTATTTAACCCATAGCTGGGGAAGAAGTGCTGAATTCATACCTTTCCCAAAGGTATTTTCACTTAAGTGAATGTAACAAACTCAATTGGAATTCGAACTCGGCTTATGAATCCTCTTCTTCTTCCCCCAGCTATGGGTAAATAGTAGGACAGACTGGGTTCTATGGCCTTGGATGGCAAATGGTGTACCACAGAAAGAAATGGCAACCTACTGTGGGGGGAAAAAAAAATCTGCCTCATCAATCGTATATCAAAAGATACATGATCACCTAAGTATGTATTATGTATGGCATTAATTTTTTTTTCTCGCAAATTTCTTATTCTGAGCTACTAACCATTGCACTTACCTGCTTACAGCACCTGGTATTCCCAAGCTGTGAACTAAGTACTGACCAGGCTTGATGTTGCTTAACTTTGGTTTCAACATGATATGGTCACAAGCTAAAATAATTACTGTATATTTCTATGTATAAGACAACCCTTAAATCCCGAAAATCATGCTTAAAAATTTGGTGGGGGTGTCATCTTATACTACAATTCTAAAAAAGAAACATTAAATTTCTGAGTGTTGTTTGTCAGTAGGCTAACCTCAGCCTTGGTGCGATAACCAATAAAGTATATATAAAGATTCACATTATCAAATAAACTGATAATAAAAGTAATAAAACCATTTCTACCTAATATATTACTGGCATAACTTCATAATAAATTGCCTATTTGAAGAATAATTCCATATCAATGAAATCAACTTGTATCCATGCAAGCTTAGCTGAGAAAATGTAAACGTCGAGTTTTGATTGCATTGACAGTAATCGAATGTACTATTATTGTACTGTTAATAGCAGTATTTTGTGATTGTCGATGAAGTAAATAGCCATTAGTACACCAGGCTGTTTGTAATTGTTTATATATAGGAAAAGAAGAGGAAGAAGAAGTAACAGTATTTGCAAGAGATCATGTGATGAAACATAAACAAAATATAGCTTGAAGTAAATTTATTGCAAATTCTTTAAATAAGCTAGAATAACCATCTTGTTTATCAATAAAAACAATACCACTATTTTGCTATTTATTGCAAACCAAATTGGTACTTCTTTCAAAACAACTGCAGCAAAAAAGATATAAATTTTTTATAATCAGCATTATAACAATAAAACAATCAAAATAAATATAACTTCCATATTGATATCATTTCAGTTTATGGAACTATTTAGATGTATAACACCTGGAAAATTTAAATCACTGCTTTATAAAAATTTCTAAGATTTAAACATTCTGAACTAAAATCAAACATGTTATCTACTTGAAATTACAGTAAGGTTCACTCTGTACAAAGCCCAGGAGCCACTTGAAGTCAAGGATTATATTAGAAGATAGTTTATATGGATAGGAAGGGAAGATAACAGTTGACTCTAGATTGTAGTGATTGGGTAAACATCCTCTTGGGAGTCTGTTCCATAGGACAGTGGTTCACAGAAAGATGTTTGAGTGGATCTTATTTCTCACTAATGGAATACGGTGGGAATGAGGGTGGTTTGTTATTATGTAAGTGACATAATGAGTCCTGGCTGTCAAATTCAGACTTGGTAGAGCAGTGAGAGACTTGTCATATCCTGCCTGTAAGAGAGAGTTGGTTGGAGTGTGGAAAATAATTCTTCTACAACAAGGACTCTGAGATGCTTTTGAACTCTATCAAAACTGGAAAATGAGGACCAGGCAACTCCTGCCCAAATATAACAACAATACTCCATTTTCAGCCTGATCTACCTCTTATAAAGGTAGAGGATAGTATGAGGAATCAGGTACTTATTGGAGTGGTACAGGGAGCTGATCATTTTACCTGCATCTTAAGTGATAGATTATATATATATACTAGCAGCATGGCCCAGCGTTGCCTGTGCTTGATTAAAAAATCATACGACTCATACAGCAATCACTATCACTTGACTTAAAATATTTTTGCCCTTCCTTGCCTTTAAAGGTGTGCCCTTTGCTGTGCTGATGCTGTTACATGCCTTACTTCTTGCCTATCTCACACTGCGAATTTTTTCTAAGCTCTATACTAAACATTAAATCTGTTACGAAAAAAGAACTAAACAAAATAAACACAAAGCAATCAGCTTTAAAAAAGGGCTCATAACTCAAAAAACCGAATGAAAAAGAATGTTAACAACAAATACTTTTTCACACCCAACCCAGTTCTGCGAAATCAGAATCAACGTTGAGTTTAAGCAAGCGAATGAGTCAATTGAAGTAAAGTGCCATGCAGATTTAAATTTTTCCCACTTGTGACAAATGCAGCTATCAATTATTTTTTTTTGCATGCTAGCATGCTAGTTAACATTCGTGTCAGTCAGCTATAGTCTCTCACTCTGGCCAGTAGAAAATGGCTGCAAACTACATGAAAAAGGCATGAAAAAATTGATTATTTTCACTATCGATGGGAGTTGGGAAATGCAAAGTCAGTCTAGGCCTTCCTGCTAACTTAGAGCATATGCATGTAAATTTTGGTGCAAATCCGTCAAAAATTGCAGCCGTGCATTCGTCACACACACACACACACACACACACACACATACAACCTGCCTTTTATATATAGAAATTCCATCTGAGGTCAAGTATGAGATTGAGGCCCAATATCCTTTCAAGGTACAGTGCCTCCTTGAAGGGACATCCATTTGTCATGACTGGCAGTATTTCTGGGTCTGATTGGTGATGATGGAATATCATCAGTTTGGTTTTAGAGGCATTGTATGTAACCAACCAGTTTTTACCCACTAGGAAGTTAGTGTTAGATTGGAAGAGAGGTCAACTGCCAATCTGTCAAAACAATTTGGTAAAGCTGCCAAGACTTTTAGAGATGTACCTGTATATCCTTGTATCATTGGCATAGTCATTTACAAATGATCGAAATATATTCTTAGGTAGATCATTTATGCAAATCAGAAAGAGTTGGTCCATGAAGTGATCTCTGGGGGACACCTACATTGACCACCAGGGCTTCGGAGGACTGGCTGTTAATAACTACTTTCAGGGATCTACCTTTTAGGAAGGATTTTATAATAGAGAAAACCCTTCCAGTGATTTCATAGCTGGAGAGCTCATGTAACAAATCTTTGTGCCACACTTTGTTCAAAAGCCTTTGAGATATCTAATGCTATGATCCTAATTCTGTGTGCAATGGTAGTTAGGACGTTAGCAGTGGATCTGGCTGATTGAAACCCATGCTGCTTGTCACACAAGAGGTTAATACTATCCAGGTTCTTGATATACCTTATTGATTAAGGCCTCAAGATGATACTGAGGAGACTAATGGGTCTATCCTGGAGGGGGAGGATTAGTTGCCTGTGTTCTTGAAGACCAGGCATACACTTACCACTTTGCACATGATTGCCTTCCAGCTGCAGTTAAATAAATTTGCTAAGATTGTGGATAATTCTGGGTTTTTGCTTTTCACAAAGTCAAATAAATGAGTTTGTCATATTGATGCCATTTCAGTTTGTGAAACCTTTTAGAAGTTATAACATCTAGAAAAAATTAAATTGCTTTATAAGGGCTTAAGGGGCCCTACTAAAGGATAATCTGGCCCTGCCATTACTATTACATGAAATTGGTTGGTTATCATGTAAACTTTTATCTGTCAATCTCTGTGGTATGTTGAGACATTGTTTAAATATCTGATAGTAATTCATATCTTTCTCAAGGGCATTTGAGTAGAGTGTTGTGTTCATGAACAAACACAGTAGAAATTCTAAATTCTTTGGTTTCATTTTTAATTTTTCAGCAATTAAGCCACATCACACCATCCAAAAAACATTTTTTTTACTTTCTTTCTCCTTACAGATAAGCCAAAACGCTGTGTTTGGAGAGTCAGTAATGATTTTCTTCCAATGTTGCCAAACTTCACCAAAATTGAAGAATTATTTTCTACTAAGTTTCCCGATGAAAAATTGCATGTAAGTTTTTTGTGAAAGCTTCTTTAATTTTTATTAGAATTGTTTTATTTTTTAATTTCTGAGATGATAAAGTATCATAATTCCAAATCAGACAGGCAGTAGATTCCAGATTCAGCTGCAAAGTAAAATGAATCTGTGATCGAGGAAGATGCTACTTTTCTGTCTTAGTGACAAGGGCAGACAACTAAACATGTCTTGGTCAAGGGCCATAACTCATCATGACAGTTATACATAGATCTGCTAGGATTAGTGTGTTAGACACAACATCTTGTCTGTTATATTCTCCAGCTTTTCAGGTGTCTGTTTCATTTCATAAGCGGAGAATTTTAACCAGAACAACACTATTTATATTTCAGGCTAAGGAATATCTTGTATCCATTTAGTTTTTCTTCTAAACCAGAGTAGATTACTATGGTGGAAAAAACAAAATGTAAACAAAGCTGCATACTGCCACTGATAACAGTACCTGGCCCTGTTGATCAAAGACATTTAGTGTGCTGTCTTTACAGAAAGTAAATAGCTGCTCTGTTGGAACAGAACTGGTGTGAAGCCCAGAACGTCTGGTTATGAAGAAAGTGTTTACCATCTTCCCCATGAAATAATTGGGATGGTGAGCTGAACGGTTTTGCCTATGCAAATAATTCCTTTTGCTAACCAACCAATAAGTTTTTAGGCTTCATAAAAGCAGCCACACTTTTTAGAGAATAGCAGTGTGCCATGTTGACCATATAATGGGATAGCTGTGTGTTATCAAGGATTTCTGTTTGTGTTTACCCAGCACTATTTCAAATTTGTTCAAACTTGTTTGTATTTTCAGTGTCTTGCCTGCATTTGTCCCATATGTGTGGTTTTCCCATATGGAAGTCTTGTTCATGTCCTGCTTGCTCTTATCCAGTGTCTGATTCTAATGCTGTTGATTTTTTCCATCCCACTTTGTTGGCAAATACCCAACCAATAATAAGAAAATTCCTTCAATGATTTTCACTGCCTGACTTAGGGATTAAACTCCTAAGTATACGCTCTTTGGAATGGTCCATTTTAAAGAATACAACTTTCTCATTTTGTTCATTTGCAAAATGCCATTCACTGCCCTAAACATTAATTTGTTTTTATTAATATTTCTCTGTTTTTATTGTTTACATGATTGCCAAAAAGTATTTTTTGTTTTTTTAACTTTCTTGGGTTAGCTGATTCCAAAGAAAACAACTTAACTTCTTTTCTCAAAACGAGCCATTTTCTTCCTTTGCAGCTTGTGACCAGACAAACATTGATGAATGTGACATTATTTCTGAACCGAACTGACTACGATGCTGAGGACCTGATTAAATCCCTTCAAACAAAGGATGCCTCCCAGGTGCCAATGGTCACCCTAAGCAATTTAATCTCAGTTCTTCCCACACCTGAAGAAGTAAGACCTTTTTAACTCATTACACATTCAACATAGTGTATCTCCCAAAACTGGAGACAAATCAGAGATTAAAACAATCAGTTGAGTAATTGACCATGGTTAAGTGTAATTAACAAAATTCTCAATAAACAATAAGTAAGAAAAAGAACATGATAAAATAATACTAAGCAAACAATGTAAAAAAAAAAAAAAAGTTCATAAAGTAAGAATGGTGTTCACATGAAAAAGGGAAACAGTCAAGTGATTGTAGCATTCTGACTTCAAGACATGAAAGAACAAAAGAAATATGGTGGATGAAACTGAGAATTGGTTCATTTTTATTGGTTAGGAAGAAATCCCAGTATGCATCTGTAAGATTTGTCTATAAATTTAGGGAGGGGTATCTTCTTGGCATCATTCATAGCTTATTGAAACCAACAAGTACAGATTTAACTCATAATCATTTGAATACATACATATTTAATATCTTTGAAAAATGCTGTATTTTTGTATAGATTGTAACTATATTTTCTACCTATGCTTTCTAAAAGAGTCAAAAGTATACAGTATAATGGTGTCAAGAGAATAACCGTCTTTTGACAGTTATTTTGTAGCCACAAAGATTGAACATTTCCCTCAGTTAATTCTTTTCTAAATTGACTCTTCATAAAATTTTATTAATCAGTTCTTAATAAAATGCCACCAACAACATTATTATCTGTTTAAATTTTTTGCCTTTTATTAAAACATTTTTCTTTTTAATTTTCCCAGGTCTCTATGCTTCATTCTTTCACTGGAGATATTTCATCTCTTCATCCATCGGAGCAATTTCTGATGGAACTAACCAGTGTAAAAGACTTCCGTGTGTTACTGCAAGGTTACCTCTTGCAGGACGAATTTCTGGCAAAATTTGTTAAGCTACGATCCAATATTCGGCATCTTATAGATGCTTGCAAAGCCATCCTTGAAGATTCCAGCCTCAGAGATATGCTCCATTTGATCTTAGGTGTTGGAAATTATTTGAATCAGGTAAGGCATGTAATTTCTTTGAAAATTTAAGAAAATCAAATTTTTTAGGTATTTAACCTTACATTTGGTGATGCTTTCTGAAAATATAATTTAAAATACATTCAATACAATTTCTAAAAAATTAATAACATTTCATGAATTATTGAGTTACCTTTATAATGGTATTTTATTAATTATCTCAATCATTGAAGTGTCCTGCTTTTGACTAATAAAAACATTTTGTTGACAATTTTAATTTGTAGAAATGTCATGAAATTAAGTAAGTGGAGGTTAACAGATGTAAAAAAAAAAAGAAGAAAAAAATTATACCAAGATTTTCTAAAAATAATAATTTCAAAAATAAATTAATTCATTTGTGAATAAGTCCTGAATGTTTCATTAAAATCCAACAATTATTTGATTTTTGCAAGAATTTCCAAATTTATTTTACCAGAAAACAGGCATGAAAATGTCCATTATCAGCTCTGTTACACCGTTGACGCATAAAGAAACAAGATTTTTAACATAAATTTCAAACATTAGAAAGGAGTAAAAAACTTTAAAAATAATTTAAAAATATTTTGTTCTTTCCTCTTAATAATAACATGAACATTTTGACAAAAAACTTTGTTTTCATCAATTTTGGGGCCCCCTCTTTTTAGCAAAAAAGTGGAGGTAACTCAATGTTGAGATTATTTAACCAAACATGCTTGAATGAAAAAAATGCTATATATATATATATATATATATATATATATATATATATATATATATAATGTAAATGTGATAATGTGCAAAATATATGATGTTGTCCTCATGCTGAAGATTTTGGAAACTTTTTAAAATTCTCAGCATTTCTTGTTCATGTGCATCAATGTAAACAAACTTAGTCCAATGAAGTCCTGAGATAAAAAACACCTCACACTTTCACATACATGTTTCCTCCAAAACTGTTCTTGATCCATAAAAATGTATCTATCGTTACTGTTCTCATTGATCAGTTTGCAAATTGTGAAGAACTCCAGAACATACTTTGCTTTTGACCATAAATTTTACTGCCACATTTTTTTTTTTTTTTTTGTAATTTCACAGATCATTCATTCTCAAGACATGCTTGCATCTACTGCACCATTTACATACAAGGATCAATTGCCTAACTTTGGTTCCACATTTTTCTTGATAAACCAGGAAGATAAAAAACATGAAATGTGCATTTTATATTCAGCCATTGTCTTCACACAAAAATAAAAATATCCATATTTTTTTTCTCTGTAAACAGTTCAGAAAGTGCATTCACTATAAGCCAAAAGTTTTGGGGCCAAACTCTTGATTTAATAACTAGTAAGTTTCATGCCTTCTTTGGTTTAACTCTGGCTAAACTAGGATGCTGAAAATATTTAACCTACTGGTGCATGGCATCCAAGTTTTTAGAGAGAGGGAGAAAATCATTATTTTTCGGGAGAGGGAGAAAATCATTATTTTTCGGGAGAGGGAGAAAATCATTATTTTTCGGGAGAGGGAAAAAATCATTATTTTTAGAGAGAGGGAGAAAATCATTATTCTTCGGGAGAGGGAGAAAATCATTATTCTTTGGGAGAGGGAGAAAATCATTATTCTTTGGGAGAGGGAGAAAATCATTATTTTTAGAGAAAGGGAGAAAATCATTATTCTTCGGGAGAGGGAGAAAATCATTATTTTTCGGGAGAGGGAGAAAATCATTATTTTTCGGGAGAGGGAAAAAATCATTATTTTTAGAGAGAGGGAGAAAATCATTATTTTTAGAGAGAGGAGAAAATCATTATTAACCCGGGAGAGGGAGAAAATCATTATTCTTTGGGAGAGGGAGAAAATCATTATTTTAGAGAAAGGGAGAAAATCATTATTCTTCGGGAGAGGAGAAAATCATTATTTTTCGGGAGAGGAGAAAATCATTATTTTTCGGGAGGAAAAAATCATTATTTTTCGGGAGGGAAAAAAATTAGAGAGAGGGAGAAAATCATTATTTTTAGAGAGAGGGAGAAAATCATTATTCTTCGGGAGAGGGAGAAAATCATTATTCTTTGGGAGAGGGAGAAAATCATTATTTTTAGAGAAAGGGAGAAAATCATTATTCTTCGGGAGAGAGAGAAAATCATTATTTTTTTCTAGAAAATTGTTAATGCAATATTCACTCGCAAAAAACAGGATAGTTGTTATAATCAAAAAATATGTTTTGGCTTTAAATAATGTTTTAAAAGTTGAAAAGCCATAAAAAAAACAAATGAATCAATCAATTTAGAGAGGGATTGTCTAAAATTTGAAATCTGCCAGAACTAAGATTAAAATGAGACAGCTAGGCAGGTTAGGTAAAGAGAGCTAAAATTTGAAAGAAACTTTATACAGTAATGAGTTAATTTTGTTATTATTGAATATATAGGAGGCACGATGGTGTAATGGATAAGCAGCTCCAATTCAGGAATCGGAGAGCCTAGTTTGATTTCCAATCAAATCCATTACATTCCCTTATGTGCTTGGGAAAGGTATGATTCTTCTTCTTCTCCCCCCCAGCTATGAGTAAATAGGACAGACTGGGTTCTATAGCCTTGGGTGGTAACCAGTCTAGGAGAAGGAAAAACTCTGAATTCAACCCAGCCTGGAGTGAGTTGGGCTCTATCAGGTTATTTTGCTCAAGAAACACCACTTCTACTGTGGTTGCAGTAAACGTGGTGCCCCTACGACCCTGATTGGTCATGGGATTCATGATTATGACTGAATATATGATAAAACCTTTCAGGAAGGGAAAGATTCTATGGTCCAAAGTAAGCTAGTAAATTAATTTTTGGAAAGGTATGAAAACTTCAATTTTTACCTGATTCTTCAGAATCCAGAAGGTGGTCACAAACTTTTGACTTATATTGTATATGCACAAACAATAAAACAACCTGTGTAAAGACCTTCTAAGATTTCTCTAATATTCTCTCCAAGATATTACTGAGAACCTTGATCTTGGGACGTGTGTTACAGTTATTTTTTAATTTTCTTTTTCAGGGTTCTTGTTATGGTAATGCCTGTGGCTTCAAGTTATCTAGCCTCTCTCTGTTGGAAGAAATGAAAACTTCTACAATGGTCAATCAAAGCCTCCTTCATCATCTTGTCCAGTTAGTAGAGGAAAATGATCGAGAAGTTCTTATGTTCACGGCGGAAACAGAAACTCTGGAAAAAGCCTCTGAGTCAGTAAAAAAAAAAAATTGTATTCATCCCCACCCCTTGCTAAAATATATTGTCTAGGGAATTTTTTTTTTTTCTTTCATCCCCAAGCAAGATGATAATGCCACTATTACGCAAGAGGCTACTGGGAGTGAAAGATAATGAGAAACCTTTTGACAGAACTGGAAATCCAATTCTAAACAGGAAGCAAGAGATAAAACTCTACTTCTATTCAAAAGGCTAGGGAGGAGTGTGAACCAGGTGATAGGCAAACCTATCTACTCCCATTGTGAAGAAAAAAAAAATTAGATGTATAGAGTTGAAGTAGAATTTAGAAGGAACCAAATACCCACTTGTGAACAGGAAACAACAGATAAACCTCTACTTCTGTTAAAAAGACCAGGGAGGAGTGTGAACCGGACAATAGGCAAACATATCTACTCCTATTGTGGAGAAAAAATTAGTGAATAAAATTTCAGAGTTCAGGTGGAGATATTAGAAGTATAGAGTTGAAGTAGACATTAGAAGAAATGGAAAACCCAATTGTGAACAGGAAACAAGGAATAAATTTCTACTCCTGTTTAAAAGACTAGGGAGAAGTGCAAACCGGACAAAAGGTGAACCTATTTACTCCTATTGAAGGAAAAAAAATAAATAGCAAATAAAATTTCAGGGAATCCTTTTCCTTTTGCTATACCTCCCCACTGCATTAAGAGGAGTAGGGTTAGGGCACTGTTTATAGAATACTCAAAGACACTGAAGGCAGTAGATAATTTTTGTCAAGTATGTATATGTAGATTCCCACTTTAAACTGACCTGGGGTTAATTCAGCCTTTATAGGGAGGCAGTTATTTTAAATGCTCTTCATTTTAAGGTTAATCTCATATAACAAATAAACATCCATCTGACCCCACCACTTGTTAATTTTTGGATTTTTTTTCACATCTACTTATTGTATCTCTAAGTAATGTTTATAAAAAATCAATTCTACTTTTACACATGAACTCTTGAAACTTCAACTTTCACCTTTACTCTTCTGTATATAAGGATTTATTTTGTATTTATTTATTTCTCTATCACCATAATTCTTTTAATTAAACTTTTTTTTCTTGTTTCAGATGTCGTCTTGATGATATCCGTAGTGAGATAAATACGATGAATGATAATCTTAAACATTTTCTTCAAGACTTGACTATTGCCAGTTCAAATGTAACACACATGTTTGATCTTTTCATCGAAGTAAGTTTTGTACAATTTCTGACAAGTCCTAATATTCAGTTTAAAAATGGCTTAATTTTCTTAGGCAGTTCTGAAGAGACAGGTCAATCTTTTGTAGCTGTGAGTAGTGTTTGTCTTTCAGAACTGCCTATCTTTTGTAGCTGTGAGTAGTGTTTGTCTTTCAGAACTGCCTATCTTTTGTAGTTATGAGTAGTGTTTGTCTTTTCACCACCCCTCCCTTTCCTGTTCTGCCATTTATTTACACAACTTTATTAGGTAGGTTGCTTGACCTTTTCCTCTGTACCTCTTACCATCAATATATCCTGTGAGTGTCAAATTCTCCAAGCCCTCTTTCTGTTGTATACCATTCATTGGGCAGGTGAAGTGTTTGTTGGTCTCATCTCATCTGGCTGGTGATCACTAGTCATTTTAGTTCAACTCTCCTCTTGGTTGTTGTTAAGAAATGATTTTTGGGTTCAGAGACAAAAAGCATCAACAAAGAGAACTTCTAACTTAACCTTTATTAACCACATCAATCATGTTGGGGTTACTACACTCCCTATTTGAGAATTGCTTCCATACACAAAAATCTCACACGTCCATTTCCTCTGACATGTAACAAACAACTCTCAAAAGACCCTGCCCCACTGTTGGGAGGGGGTTTGCATAAATGCAATCTAACACATCTGACATCCAAACAGCAACTCCCCAAACAACCTTAATCTATAACTCATTCCCATGTGTGGCTCAGCCAATTAAAATCCATGTGTGGCTCAGCCAATTAAAATCGACCTTATTTTGTCTACTTATCTGACCTCAAAGGTTATCATCAGAAGGTCTGAGCCCAAAATACACTGCCACTAAAAAATAATAGTCTGAAACTATTATTTAACACTCCTTACCTAACCATAAAAAGAAATTCATTTATGAATTATATTTCGACTACATTATATTTAACACTAGCAGTAGAGCCCGGCATTACCCGGGGATGTAACAGTAAGAGATAGATCAAGTATCGACCATCATAAAGACTGAAAACACTAATGTATTCATATTGACATAATTTTCAGTTGACAATATGAATAATATCATTTTCTAAATTCTTCTAGTTGCTAAGGACATTTTGTTTGTCGTTAACAGTTACTTTGTTTTCAATAAATTCATTTCATTTTTGCCTTGAAAAGTCCACATTGGACAAAACGTGTCAGCTAATAATATAGTTTTCCTATTGTCTTTTACCTTTATACATATTGTCTTTTTCTACAGGTTAACTCTGAGAAATTTTTCATAACAATTCATCCTAGAAATTCAAACAGAAACTCCTAACTGAATAAACATGTCGCACTGCCCAATATATTCATTGACTTATTATTTCTCATTTAATTTACAAATTATTTTCATTGTTTCAGGATGTGAAACAGCATTTTAATGATTTGGTATCGCGTCTTGGTGTTCTTCGAGCATTATCACAGCAAGTTGCAGAATATTTTTGCGAACGAGTTGATGACTTTAATCTCCAGATATGCCTTCAACAGCTTTCTGACTTCTATAAAAGTGTCAGCAAGTGTCGGACTGTAAGTATCTTAAACTAAGCCCCATATATGTATATATATTAAAGACATTTTTATGTTTAACGTTCTTTTTATAGATACAAGTATTTAAGTAAATGCTCTGTTTATAATAAACAGTATTAAATAAAATTTACCGACATGAATGTAAAAAAAAATTTATTAAAAAATATTCGTCTTTATATTTCTAGAAAATTTACGGAAAAACTTGTATCTATAAAAAGAACGTTAAACATAAAATGTCTTTAATAAATAAAATTGTCGGACTTTGTCCATTTCTTAATATATATATATATATATATATATATATATATATACACACATACATATATATTGGTTTTAAATTATAAATGAATAATTACCTAAAACGTGTGCAACGGGAGGGTTGTTATTCCGCATTTTTATCAAAAATCTACATTGAATATATATTTAAAAAAATGCTATTTTGTAAATTACATTATATTTTATATTATATTTTATATTACATTATATTTTTGTAAATAATACTATTTTGTAAATTATGAATAATTACATAAAACGTGTGTGCAGGGAGGGGGTTGTTTAGCATTGTTATCCAAATTCTACATTGAATATATATTTTTAAAAAAATGTATTTATAATTTTTCAGTGCAACTTTTATATTCATCCTCTTTCTGTTTCCAACAAAAGCTTTTGTTATTATTATTATTAGATAAGGACATGCTTGAAGAATCTAAAAATGATTTAGGATCAAAATCCGACAGAATGATAAGATAAAGAACAAATAGGAAACACTTATCAATCTAACATGTTTCACTTTTATTAAATCTTCATCAGAGAATGAGATATGGAGAAAAAAGAAGACATTCTGCTATTTTTATTGTTGTGTTGTTTGATTTTTGTTGGTAAATCAGATTTCATATGTATTTGACTTTTTAAACCAACGTTAGTATAATTTGTGTTGTTCCAAATTCAAAAGAGAGAGAATGTGTCCATCCAAAGTCTCAAGAAATTAGCAGATTCCTGGAAGACCATAAATATAATAATCCTAGTTTGATAAAAATTATCTGAATCCAACATGCAAATGCAGATCAAATATGGGTTGGAATATGACAGGATATGATCAAGAACAAATAAGAAACGTTTATCAATCTGACATGTTTTACTTTTATTAAAGCTTCATCAGAGAATGAAATATTGCGAAAAAAAGAAAGGAATTCTGGTATTTTTACTTTTGTGTTTGATTTTCATTGGTCAGTCATGTATCATGTGCATTTGACTCTTAAACCAATGTTAGTATAATTTGCGGCATTTCAAATTTAATGAGATGACACATCCATCTGAATTTTCAAGAAATTAATGAACTCCAAGCGTACCTGAAAAAATTGTAAATATTGCAATGTGTATGTAAGTTTATTAAAAATTCTAGTTTCCCTGCAATTTTTGAATGCAAACATTTTTAAAGGAATTTTATTATTTTATAATCGTGGTTTATTTTCCATTTTTAAAACTGTTAGATTCATTTTTGTACAGAAGTTCAGAAAAGAAATAATTCTGTGACCACTATGAATAAACTGTATCAGTAATTGTAACAATTCTAACTTTTTAACTATTTTTCACATATTTTGTAGCATTTCCTTTCATAAATAAATTTTGAAATCAGATTAATTAAAAAAAGACCTCATTAGGTAAAATTAAATATTTCATAACATCAAACAGGTAAGAAAATTTTAGCATCATATGCAAATTAGATAGGCAAGTATAAATAGAGAACAACTGGTAAACATAAGGTGGCTATGCCTAGCAAACCCAGTTGCTATTCAGGACACGGAGAACTGTACTACAACTACTACTACTTTGCTGAGAGATATGCAGAACATAACAATGGCGTCACAGATAGGATCATTAAATTCACTGGACGATCCAGAACACATAGAAGCATGGATAAGAACTTTTACTACATTTGCAAGAATGAAAAGACAAATGAGTATGAAGAAGAAAATGAAGAGAGACCGAGATCACCATTAAAAGAAAACAAGAGGAAGGACAACACAATACAAAAATAATCAAGAATAGTAAAAGAAAAAACAAGGGTATACAACCTCTTGAATTCAGGCAGGTGTAGTATTGTATGCACATTAGGTAGACAAGTACAAATAGAGAACAACAGGTGAACATAGGTTAGCTATGTCTAGCAATCGTGGTTGCTATTCAGCACATGGAGAACTACTACTACTACTTGGCAGAGAGATATGCAAAACATAAAAGTAATTAAAAAATGAAAGCAATGAATTAAATTCAAGTATCATGTAACTAGTTTTACTGTCCTTTTATACATCTAATAAAATTCATTCTATAGGTTGAGAATCCTTTATCCAAAATTCTTGTGACTAGAAGTGCTTTGGTTTTCAGATTTGTTTGGATATAGCTTGGTGTAAAATGGAACAGCTTGGGAAAGGAACCCAAGCATAAACATGATATCCCTTTACATTTCATAACAGCTTATACATATACTCTGAAGGTAGTTTTATATAAATAACATATACCCTGAAAGTAGTTTTATATAGAATTTAATAAATTTTGTGTACATAAAGATACTGGTAATGACGCTCGTCATGTAATGCTCACACAGATTATTAAGTGGTGAAATTAAGATTTTATGTAAAAAATAATGTTTTATACTTTCTGTATGTGTACAAAAAAAACCTGATCACTACTTACAAAAATGTAGCAAAAAAGCTTTAAACTTTGTTCAATGTGTTCAAATAAGTGATGTGGCAGTCCAATTCCACAATGAACTAAACAAATTGCAAGTCCAAACTTGAAGATCCAGAGGCAGAAAGAAATGTCAAAATGATGACTCACAGATCCAATGTCAGAAATCCCAGTACATGTAAGCAGTCAGAAATCCCAGTACATGTAAGCAGTCAGAAATCCCCACACAAGCTGATGGATCAGGCAGAAAAAATAAAAATGACTTCTCCCAATTCGAGCATACCAACTGCTTTTATTGGCGGAACAACTTTTTTCATTGGTCAACAGGTGGAAGAGGATACACAATATTAGCATATCCGAGATGCATTTATGGCAACACCTGCGACCAACTTGTTTCTATTTTGCTTATTTTGTCTTCAGCATATCATACAGAACACATGTGCCCTTTTTCTCAGTGACTTTCTCTTTCACCACCAAAATATATGCGGGACTTTTGACATTTTGAATAATATCTTTACTGAGCACAAAACACCTGGTAAGTAATCCATGAATGAAGATGTTGCTGTGATGATTGCTAACAAAAAACTGGCACGAATGTAGGTCACATAGCGAGGGAAGCCCCCACTCAGGGCACAGGGACGAATTACAAACAAGAAGTCTGATATTTTCTTGTCGATAACTCCAAAACGGTAGGTTTCTTCATAATTTAATTGTTAATTTGAGTTCAGCATGTACATTTACACGGAATTATGACGATTTGGGAAAATCTTAAGTGATATTTAGCGCAGGTGTTAAAAAGCAAATTTACCCAAATTTTTATTAGAAACTGAGCACAGGGCTTAAACTGCAAATTACTCAATTTATTTTTATTATGTTTCAAGCAAAAATAAAATAGAAGAAAATAAATATTACTATCACAAAATCCAGTTAATTAATGCTTAAATTTTCTGATTTACTTTTAAACCAATCTCAAGAACAAATATTACATTTTTAAGACATTTTAAAATAAATAAAATTTGTTTACATTTCTAATGGACAATGGATGAGTGGCCGTACAAATAAATTGTCTAAAAACTTTATTTAAATACATAAGTTAACTTTTCACTTTTTTTTTCTTTTGTTACTGATTGGCCTTAGGCTATCTTTCAAATAAAACCCAAATTTAAATTTTAAAAAAATACTTAAATTATTTAAAATTCTTTTTTCATTTTTCTTTAGATATCTAATTCTAAAATTCTATCTTTTGCAGATGACGTTTTAGAAATAAATATTTTCTAAAAATTTTATCTTTAAAAATGTTGTTTGATTTCCGACTTCTGTCAAAACAAAAATCAAAAAACAATTTTTTTTAATTCTAGTTTCACTCTCTTCTTTCAACTGTAATAGGAAAAAATCTATAAACATATTGAGTTTTAAATTTTACTTAATATTTATCATTTCATAAATAAGTAAAAGAACTAGAGGCTTATTTACAAAAGCTAAATGTACTGGGGAAAGAATTAGATCTGACTTTAAAAGATTAAAATTGGCAGCTCTTAGGAAGTGACGTAATATGGACACGCCCACTATCATAAAACCAGGCCACGAGGCAGTAAATTTTTTTCCTTTCGTTGGTTGTATTGAGAAGGCAGCACTTTTCTCAACATGCTTGAGGTGTCCTTTGTTAAAGGAAATCCTCGCCTTCACAATTGCAGTATCCCTCTCAGTTTTATTAAACTCGACTTTTGTTCACAATACTCTTTTTCCGCACGACTGAGTTTAGGTAAGTAAGTGTGAAAGATTCTTTCTTTCTGTTGCAATTAGTCAAATTTATCTCAAACTAGAGACAGTCAACCCCTGAACATTATAGACAATAATATTCCCTTACAAATTAATTGAAAACGTTTGTTGTCTGATGTTTTTTTATTTTATTTCTATTTTAGACATTTTGTTATACACATTTTTTTTCTTTTAAATCTATGGTCGACATTACTTTTTGGCGGGAACTAAACTTTTACTGCACTGGACATGTTTATTGCATTAACGGTTGTTTTGGGGGTTTTCTTTCACTTGAAATGTTGAGTGTGTTTCATTTTTATTTTTAAGGGGGAAATATTTAATGAGAAAACTAATCTTGCACTATAAAATTTAAACTTTAAACCGCCTGTTGGTGACTTGTGTAGGGAATTAAAACATCGCATTTAAATGGAGTTATTTCCCTTAGTCATTAACTTTTCCATATGCAGTCCTGTTTTAAAAAAGTTGAAATTTCCTTATTGGGATTAATTTGTATACTTCGTGGAACAAAGCCGCAAGTTAGTTTCTGGTCATTTTTTAAATGGTTGATATTGTCAAGTCTAAAAAAAATGAAAAACAACCAAATCCACATTTTGAAAGGATTCAATCTCCCCCCCCACACACACACACACCTTCTTTTGACTTTCAAGTTTGTTTTTTTTGTGGGAGTTATTTTACGTTTACGACTTAACGATGTTTATTTACAGCTAATTCTTAATTTCTTTTATTCTTTATTAGTTCCTAGCAGACCTATCTTACAGAAGAATAAAATCCCAAGTTATTTTTTTTCCGTGACTTTGGAACTCTGTGACCAAAATCCAAACTTTAAATTGATTCGGTAAAAAAAAACAAAAAAAACATTAAAATTTTTTGAACTTGAATTTCGGTTATATTTGAAAGATATCCTGAAAAAAAACCTAGCCGTTAAAGAGAAAAGAAAAAAATTAAGCATTTTTAAAAACATTGTCAGGTTTTTTTATTACTATTTTTTCTCTTTTTCTTATTACTTATCAAACCACCATTTAGAGGCGCGAAAAATGTAAAACAAATTTAAAAATCTAATATTTATGCTAAAGATGTTTCGTACTCATTTAGTAAATTCATGAATTACTTAAATGGATTTTGTGAAGTTAATGTTTATTTTTTCTTATTGAAAATAAATTTTATTTACACACATCCTGAGGTAAAAAAAAAATGTAATAAGTACATTTCAGAAACGCGCTAAAAAGAAATATGGAATACTAGCAGTGCAATAATCAAACAAAATATATTGGTATTTCTTTAAACCTTATATAACTAATAGTTTAAGATTAATTTCCTATACTATTTGATGAAACTTAGGAATGGTTTTTTTTTTTTTTAATAAGTTTTCATTGTTTTTAATTTTTTGTGCCTGTTTCTCTCCTAATTCGCTAAAAATAAGTATATGAAAAAAAACCTACACTTGTAAACAATTTTTTATCGTATAAATGTTAGAAAGATGAAAGTTTTTTTGTTTTTAGTCAGCAAAATTGCCAAAAAAAATCTATGGTATCTGCTATTGTAAGAATCAATTATACCTTTTTCAAAAACTATGAGGAAAATTTAAAGTATACTTTTAATTGGAAACAAACATTACTTAATTTTTTTAAGAGAAACAATGTAGTTGAATAAAAAATACTTTTATTACCTCCTTAACAATAACAGACATTTTACGATAAAACTGTAAGTCTCTAGGGCTTTTTCAACGTGCTAGGTTGTCATTTAGAAATTTAGCTGTCATGTTGAAATAATTCGCCGAAAAAAACAGCATGATAAAAGAAAGGCCTCAAACTTAATAAAAACAAACAAAAAAAAGTTTGTTATTAAGAGGAAAAGAAAGACGAAAGTAATTTTTTAAATTTTTATTCCTTTCTACTAGTAGCATGTTTTTTTTTTTTTTATAGCGATTTTTCAGTTGAAAAATGCATTTGGAAATTCCTTCAAAAATCGAATAATTGTATTTTAATGAAATTTCCATAAATTATTAAAAAAAAAAAATGAATGAAATTATTTTAGATTTTTTTAATCTGTTACCGGGTACCCCCTCTTTACTTTTAGGAAAACTCGAATGTGTTTTTCTAATTTTTTAAAATTAAATGCAGATGACTTTGAAGAATATCTTCGATTTTTATTTCTTTTCAGAAATAACCTGTTTCTTCTTCGAATTACTGGCAATACCTAAATGTCTAATTGTTAGTTTTTACTTTTTATTCTGAATTTTTTAAAAATTATTGAATTTTGTATTACTCTTCCTTCCGATAGGAAAAAGAGTCGATGGCACGACTAATTCAGAATTTCCTTTTTGAACATTCATACCAAAAATAATCTAACGGTTACTAAAAGGAAAAATTCTTTTAAAAAAAGGTTCATGCTCGAAAATGGCATTAAATTTTTGATTGTTCAATCATGTCCTTAATATAAAACAAAAACACTCTTGTGGACGACGAGCAACAGGATTTACTGAAAAAGTTAAGTATAGCATGATTAGAAAAGACCCCCTTAAAAATAGCTTTATCGTCATAGAATTTATTAAAATGAAAAACCGAAGTTTTTTTTTTTTTTTTTTTTTAATCATTTGTAGCACTTTCAAAATTGTGGTTAAAAATCTTTCTCCTTTTTTTTTCCGTTAGCGAGCTCTAATATTTACCATTTTTAGCGCTTTTTTTTTCTCCACGTGAAAAACACATTGATTTGGATATTCTTGGTTAAAAAAAATTATTTTTATAAACATAACATTTCAGGAAATTGAGAAATTAAATTTCAATCTTTTTTTTTTTTAATAGCAGGACTCCTTGGCGAATTAAAATTTATACCGAAAAATCTGCTCTGAATAATGAAAAAAGCAATGAAACTGACATTATTTAATTAGAAAAATTTCTAATTGCTTTTATAAATTATTTATTAGTGGGCACTATTGTTTTGAAAAAAAAAAAATTATCATGAATAATGAATTTTTACAAGAATTTTCTTTCTTTTTTTTTTTTTTAAATTAAATTTAAATTGTTTAAAATTTTGCATTATTTCTATCCAGTTAAGAGATATCAAGTGAAAACTATATTTACAAATCAAAAGTTGAACCGCTCAAATGTCGTTTACATCCAATATTTAGAAGGAAAAAAAATCTATTTTTGTTAGTATGGTAGTCCATATGTGACCTTATCCCTAAAAGGTAACATGTTTTAAGAGTTATCCTACCGTATTTTTGTAAATCATCCCTTCAAAATTTTAAAGGTAGTTTTACTTTTCTTTATTACTGTTTCACTAAATCTCTCAAGTGTAAACAATTGTAATTAATAATAAAATTTAATAAATAACTTAGTATTTCAAAATCGTCATGATAACAATTAAGAATTAAATGAAAATTAAGATATTAAAGAATAGAAATTAATAATAAATAAAATAACATTTCATAAATTGAGTTACCTCTAACATATATCTCAGTTCTTAAATTTTTAAATTAAGAAAATTTCATATTTTAAATTTATTTTTTTCAGAAAACAAAGTAACTAAAATTCAATAAAATATAAGATAATTGCTGAAAATTTAAATTTTTAAAAATTACTACTGTCAACATGTTAGGTTGTCAGTAAATCAACACATCAGAAAAACAAAACCCAGTGATTAAGAAATGCTTGTTTATTATGTTTTATATAGTATAAGTAATATTTTTCAAATCAGATTAATTTAACTTTAAACTTGCTAATTTTCCTCAAATAACATGTCACAAATATATATTTTACTTTTGTAACAGTTTAAAAGCCAAGAATTAAATTTTAGAAATATATAATAGTTGCCAAATTTACTTTTTTGGGGCGGGGGAGCGACCAAAAAGTTAAGATTCCAATCTATAATTTCTGTTTGAAATACACCAGAGTATGCCTTATGTTTGAAGATTGTTTCTGAAAAAATAAAATTTCATACAAGAGGTACCTAATTTTTATGCACATCTCTTGTGAAATTTCATGGTATTTATATTTATTAATTTTCGTCTTGGTTATGAAAAAAATTCACTACTGAGATAATATAAAAGTTAATTAAAAAATACCATGAAAATTCATAAAATAAGTTAAGTACCTTACTCATTTTTAGTTCTAAATATTAATTTTTATTTTCATTATTTTTAATATTGTTTCCATCCCTAAAATTGAAAATAAATAATAAAAAAAATAGTATCTCTCACTGAAAAACAAATATTTAAAACGCTAAATTAAAAATATTTAATGAAATAAGTTAAAAAAGAAAACCTAAAAAACTTGAGAATGCGAGTGGTCAAATTCAGTTAGAAAATTCAACAGGTGAACAATACAAAAACTATTTTCTGACAGCATTAATTGACATCAGGGGAAGCAACTCTTAAAACATTAATGATTCATGTTAAGTACGACCATCCATATATTTGTGGTGGGGGGTATGCACTCTCAAAATTCTTTTAAAATATGGGGCTTTTGCAGATTGTAACAAGATTTCAACTTTATGATCTATAAAGATAAATCTACTTAATAACATTTCCTAAACTGTATAGGTTGAAACTTATTTAACGCATTTAAATTAACTTTGAAATATTAAAGCTTATTTATTAGCTTGAAATTAATACTTTCTTCAGAACAACCAAAAATTGATTTTTATTTTTTTAAATCCACTCAAGTTTAATAAAGTTTTTGCCATTACAATAATGCCAATAAAAAAATTTTTAAACTTGCTGGTGGCAAAAATTGTTTTTGAAGAATTATCTCCCCTTGCTACTTTAGGCGCATTGTCTTTAACAAAGGATGTACCTGCAATGAAGTTTCTAAGACATTCTTTTGGCAAGTGATTATGAGCCTGCTGCAGCAATTAAGTTTTAATTTGAATTGCCGTGCTTAAACCAGTTTGAAGGGTGCTGTATATAAAATGACTGACTTCAGCAAATTGTCATATTTTACCTGAACTTATAAAATCTAAAGTATGTTAAGTCAGCACATGTAAGGTTTACTGATGAACATTTAAAAGCATTTCTTTTGGTTGGATGCAGCAGTACCAAAAGAAATATCAATTATCTTAAAAGGTAAACACCAGTTTCACAAATCTCACTAACCTGTTGTGTTGCCTAGTTTGTGAGATTCAGATATTTGTGTACTTGGTGTGATATAACTATTTTATTGCTATTATCACCTTAACTTAAATAAGTATGTCTGTTGTCTTTATTTTTTGTGCATTCAGTGTATTGTATTAAGCAAAAATGGTTATCTGGCCTGCACTTGTCATTCTCTGTTATCTGGCCCTCTGTAAAAAAAAAAAAAAAATTTGACCTGAGCTAGGTAACAGTTAAACAACTTGATGTAAAACAGGCACTGGTTAACAATGGTTTTCCTAAAATACCTCATTGACCACTAGATTAGACTATTTCTTTTTAAAGTAACTAATAGCAATACTGAACATACAAATAAAAATAACAAAGCCAGAAGTACTTGGATATGCAGAAGTTTTGGACAATTATATTTTGTGTGCAGAAAAGAAAACTTGCATAAACACAAATTAAAGTTTAATGCAGTGCCTTGCCATTCGTCTACACACACACACACACACACACACACAGGGGTTTTAAAAAAAAAAAAAAAACTTTGGGAGTGGGTTCCTCACACTAGACAGTCTCCATATAAACATGTTCAGAAATTGTTCGTTTTTGAGTTATTAAGTTTAAAGAAGTTATTGTAGATAGCACTGTGTTGCATTTGTCATTTGTGTTCCTTTGTGGCTAGTCTGTCTTCAGCATTTAATGTGTGTAGTAGTGAGTTAACAATGGCAAGATATATTGGGAGCAGGCTGATATATATATTTCTGCATGAATGGTAATGAATGCAAGTGTGTGTGTGTATATATATATATATATATATATATATATATATATATATATATATATATATATATTTTTTTTTTTTATTATTTTTTTTTTTTTATAGGAAAACTTTATATTCAAGAAGCAACATAATTTGGCCCAAGCCAGAATGAAGCAGTTCAAGGGTCACCTGAAGAAGCAAAAATTGGCCCTTCAATTTGGGCAGGAAGCTGGTAAATATTGCTTTCACATACGTGTGTGTATGTAAAAAAAAAAAAAAAAATGGATTGGCCACCTCATGTACCTGTCTTAATGTGTTGTATTATGGGTGCTTACTGGTACCCCCCCCCCCCAACATACACACACACAGCTTAACTATAGAATTTTCATTCACACCAGGTACCAGCAGAGTGCTATTATTGTTTTTGACCCCACTCTCACTTCTATATGAGGGGGTCTGATCTGGCAGCTCAGCTTCAGCCACTTACCCATCGCCATAGCATAGCTTCTCTCTGCCTTTCCTATAAATATTTTCATGGTAACTATTCTGATAATTTTTTTCCTCTTTGGTACCTTGACTTCATCAATTAAAAGCCAGAATTTATTAAGAACTATGAAGGGCAGGAAGTTGTGGAGAGCCACAATCGCCTACATCTCTTTCAGTAATTGTCCTTATTCTTTAATGATTGTCTTCTCTCTTCACCCTCAGTAATATTGTCTTGGTGGCTTTATTGCCTTACGTGCAGCAGAATGGTGAAAGTGGCTAGGCAATATTTATTCTTAGACCTGATACACTGTTTTTTATTCAGTCTTTACCCTACTACTGGGAGGAGGGGTCAGCAATTGAGAGGAATTTTTGTCAACCCTAACTTTTACCAGGCTAATTTCTTCCTAAGATGCCCCCGCCTTCATTTGGTGGGGGTGCAAAAGCATGAACACCTACTGTTTTAAAATTGTTATAACTTTCCTTGTATTGTGCATATAAATTTTAATTTTTGTACACTAATAAAAGTAATATTTTAATGTAATGCATTGTTTTGCTTCCATGTTTTGATTTTGAAAACAAAAAAATTGAAACGTGGAATGAAAAACAAATGCATTAAAACTACATAAATAATTCAATGTACTTTAACTTTTATTAATCCTTGTGGAGCTCTGGGGTGCAATAAGATGCAAAATCACTAAAAAGGCTTTCATTTCATTAAAAATGTGACATGTTCCCTCGTGTTTACATAATGGAAAGACAGCATTTCTTTCCTCTTTCACCTGACTCCTATTTATTTGTCTTTTTGATGAATAGTTATTATTTCATCATTTATAAATGGACAAAATAATTCACCTTCAGAAAGACCATCAGATATGTCCATGGTTACCAGTAGCTTCCATAAAATTAGTCGGGCATAGATGATAATAGTTGCTATAATTGCTTTGCTCCACATCACTTATCTCCAATCACTTCACCATCAATATCCACTCGACTGAAGCCTTCTAAATCATCGAAGTCTTAATCAAAGGAAAACTCCTGAATAAAGGCTTTGTTGGATATTGATACTGCCATTTTTGTTTACAAAAAATTAACGTGAGTTTAATCTATGATACACCTCGTGTAGTCTAGAATTCAAAATAGCGTTTAAAAAGAGATGTTTAGCCTTGTTTCAAAAGGGTACAAGATTATTTCCAGCTTAAATTACCAGAAATAATAATTGACAAGTGTTTATTTATAGTAACTTTGTCATGGCAACAGTGCACCTAGAGTAACAAAGGGAGAGAATTCTCCGGCGACTATTGTCGTCTGCAGTGTGGTAAAAGTTAGTTGCAAACCAATATAAATGTGTCTTTACACTACAGTCGAACGTCAGTCATCGAGCACATCTATTATGGTTCGGATATTGTTCACTTTTTTGGCAAAAATGTCTGAAATCTAGATCTCCTCGATTAATAAAACCATTCACTTCTGCTTACTTGCTGCCCTGTGTACATAACTTAGTCTTTGTCTCTAAGTGAACATCTCCCCTAGTATTATATCCAAAAATCTTTGTTTTAAATAGTGTTTCTGTATTTTTTAGTTTTACTCTAAAATAAGACACCATTAGTCCAAAGAAAGTTCAGAGTGCATCTTTGGGAAAGCTAGTGTGTGGAGGGCCACAGGGAAGAGATCCAAGACCTTCAGCTGGAGCGGCAACTGAGGAACTAGTTTCAGAGGAGAGAGGTGGGGGATGTGCCTTCTTCAGTGATTAAGAAAATTTGTTCAAAATTGGGTGCAGTGCAAGATTTTATTGAAAAATATTACCCTAACAAAGCAGTGTCATAAACATGTTTAATGATAATGCCTTGTTACATTTCTGGCAAATTTGAAACTGATGTGGCATAAGGCCAAAAGTGGAGCACCCAGTTAGGATCAAACTTACTCTGTCAGTTATGTGCCATATGTGATACATGCTAAGGCAATCATGTATCTTTCTATACATGACTGACAGCAGTAGGTTGCCATCGAAGGCTATAGAACCCAGTCTTTCGTGTTATTTACCCATAGCTGGGGGGGGGGATTCATACCTTTCCCACAGGTATTAGCACATAAGTGAATGTAATGGAATCTACTGTAATTCGAACTTCAGTCATCCATTTCTTCAGTCTGAGCTGCTAACCATTATGCCATTAATTGATCTTTTCCTTCTTCTCTTCCCCCTTCCATCCTCTTCTCTTCCCCCTCCCATCCTCTTCTCTTCCCCTCCCATCCTCTTCTCTTCCCCTCCCATCCTCTTCTCTTCCCCTCCCATCCTCTTCTCTTCCCTCCCATCCTCTTCTCTTCCCCTCCCCATCCTCTTCTCTTCCCCTCCCATCCTCTTCTCTTCCCCTCCCATCCTCTTCTCTTCCCCTCCCATCCTCTTCTCTTCCCCTCCCATCCTCTTCTCTTCCCCTCCCATCCTCTTCTCTTCCCCTCCCATCCTCTTCTCTTCCCCTCCCATCCTCTTCTCTTCCCCTCCCATCCTCTTCTCTTCCCCCTCCCATCCTCTTCTCTTCCCCCTCCCATCCTCTTCTCTTCCCCTCCCATCCTCTTCTCTTCCCCCTCCCATCCTCTTCTCTTCCCCCTCCCATCCTCTTCTCTTCCCCTCCCATCCTCTTCTCTTCCCCCTCCCATCCTCTTCTCTTCCCGCTCCCATCCTCTTCTCTTCCCGCTCCCATCCTCTTCTCTTCCCGCTCCCATCCTCTTCTCTTCCCCTCCCATCCTCTTCTCTTCCCCCTCCATCCTCTTCTCTTCCCCTCCCATCCTCTTCTCTTCCCCCTCCCATCCTCTTCTCTTCCCCCTCCCATCCTCTTCTCTTCCCGCTCCCATCCTCTTCTCTTCCCGCTCCCATCCTCTTCTCTTCCCGCTCCCATCCTCTTCTCTTCCCGCTCCCATCCTCTTCTCTTCCCGCTCCCATCCTCTTCTCTTCCCCCTCCCATCCTCTTCTCTTCCCCTCCCATCCTCTTCTCTTCCCCCTCCCATCCCTCTTCTCTTCCCCCTCCCCATCCTCTTCTCTTCCCCTCCCATCCTCTTCTCTTCCCCCTCCCATCCTCTTCTCTTCCCCCTCCCATCCTCTTCTCTTCCCCCTCCCCATCCTCTTCTCTTCCCCTCCCATCCTCTTCTCTTCCCCTCCCATCCTCTTCTCTTCCCGCTCCCATCCTCTTCTCTTCCCGCTCCCATCCTCTTCTCTTCCCCCTCCCATCCTCTTCTCTTCCCCCTCTTCCCTCCCTCTGATGACAAGTTGTACCAAGAAAACCCATCCAAAAGCCTGTTATACATTTTGCAGGGTGTGGTATGCAAGGGGTCAAAGCAGCAGTCTAAAAAATTTAACAACCACTGAGATGGAGCATAAAGTATTTCTATATCTAAAACTTTCTTGAATTCCTAGGTTAGATTTTAACTTTTTTTTTTTTCCCCCTGACAGGTGCCTGTTCTTCAGCAATAGAGAAAAAGCAAGGTGTTCTGGACAAGATTCTTCTGGAAATCCATAGTGGTAACTTTAGGAAGTTCCTAGAGAAAACTGAACATCTAATCAGCACTCCTGCCCGTGAAACAAAAGGGAAGCATGAACTGGAATTTAGCCGTATCAGTTTAGCTGGTAGCCAATTGAAGTTACCTATCATGGTGTATGATGATTTGGATGATACTTTGACTGAGATTCAAGCTCTAAAAGACAAGCTGCAAATTCCAGGTAATAATGATGATGTTCTTGGCTGCTGCTTTTTTCTTTTTTTCAGTATCATTTTCTCAATCTTAATTTTGCAATCACTTAATTTTCTATGCTTTTACATTATACATTGAAAATTCATTCATGTGAGAAATACAAGAAAAGAAATCTAGCCAGCTCAACTGTAAATTGATGAGTCTATGCCAGTCTAGTACTGCCCTTAAATTTATAAAGTTTTAAGTATCTGCTGGAAATTTGCAGAAAATGAAATTCCTACTCTACCCAATAGGACTTCATTTCCATAAACTAGAGAAAATTTTCAGTTCAACAAAAAAAAAATGTGAAAAGCTCTCAAGGTTGTTTGGGGGAACTTTTGGAAGAAAAAATTTTATGGATATCAGAAAATATTTCAAAATAGCAAAGACCAGACATGCATAACTATGCATTTTCTGATAATGAATTGATGCAGTGCAGAAAAACTCGGTTCCATCAAATCTGGCCTTTGGTATTTCAAATTAATCCATTTCAAAGTTAGGCACACTTATTTAAAAGGTATCAGCACTCTTGAAATGAAAATTTATCTGAATAGTTATCAACAGATTTTTATTCCAAAATAGTGCATTTGAGAGCTGGAGTGTTTTTCTTGACTGAATCAAAAGTCAGTTTAAACAATCAGTTCTTGGTGAAAGCTGAGGAGGAAATTCAGCAAAAGATTGAAAAGTTTTGGCGAAAGATAACTTTCCTGAAAGTACAGGTAAAGGAGGAACATCCTCAACATGAAACCCTGCTCACACGTCCTTCATTTTGGTGGAAAAGATATTGTTCTCCAAATGGTTGATGAGCATTACACACAAATAATGTAACAATTTGCCCAGCATCTTTCCATGATATTACATATTTTCTGCTCAAGTAAGTGAATATGAAGAAGTACAGGAAACTTTGTACAAACCTGTACACTTTTTTCTCTCCTCACAAGCTTTCCACGCCAATTCCCCACAACAAAACCTGGTACTTTGATTAACAGCAGTCCACAAACTTCTAGGACACTCCTGGGAGTTGATTGAGATGTATATGTACCAGGTACAAATCTGCGACAACCAACAAACTTCCTGAACAAACACACTATTCACTTGGTGCGCCTGGTGTAAAACCGTAACGACTGATAAACTCCCTCAATTTACTTAATGTCTTCCTGCGCCTCTGCTTTCTCCTTTACATGATTCTTCTTCAACGTTGCAGAAGATTCATTTTCATTGAGTGGCTAGTGTTCGGTGCTTTTACGTCCTTTTCTGCCCTCATTCATTTGCATGCATGAATTCACTTTCTGTGGTTTTACGCGACCACCCGCGTGAGGATACGTGACCATTTGCAATATAAGCTTGTCGGGGACAGCCATGTTTTTTCCAGTTAAAAATAAACTTTGCATGCAGAACATATATACTGTCATTTGCAATCAGGTGGGTGATTATTTTCGTTCCAATTTTCACTACAGTATATGGGCTTTGGATTGGAAGATTGGGATGAATCAGGTTTAGAGGCAAAAAACAAAATTTTGTGATCAATCTGGTTGAAACTTGCAAGAAAAACCTCACAATCTAATCTAGATGACATGATCAATAGATTATGGTTGTGATCCAATCCAATAGTTAAGTGTCCACTTGAAAGCCCAACCATACTGCAAACATTGTACTGAATACAGTCAATTCAACCAGTTACTGCAGAATCAAGAGCCCAATGTTTGGTTTGCTAAATGATGATGATGCATTATTTGAAAGTTTTTTCCACTGGAAGATACTTTGAATAAACTTTAAAAAAAATAAAATAAATAAATTCTTTATTTCTGTCTCGATTATTCTATCAAACATGATGAGTCATGACAAGTCTGGAAATATGTCTGCCCAAATATGAAAATTCAGTCCCAAACCACAAATTTTCATCTTTTTTGAAAATTTATTTGTTGTAAGCACTCATGAAAATGCTTCTAAGAAGCCCTAACTAATGGCTTTCTCTTTGCCCAAAATTAAATGGCACTCAATGTGTTTTCAGGCTATTAGTGCTCAAATATGGAAATCCAGTCCCAGACCCCAAAGTTTTTTTTTTTTTTTTTTTTTTTAACTTTTTGTAAAGGTCTCATCATAATGCTTCTAATAAGCCCTCACTGATGTGTCTATTTTTCCCCAAAGTTGGATAGCATCCAAATGTTTTTGGGTCTTAATACCTAAATATGGAAATTTGGTCCTGGGCCCCCAAATTTTTATCATTTATGTAAATTTCATTGTAAAGGTTTCATCAAAACACTTCTAACGAGCCCTCACTGATGTTTATACCTTTTCTGTAAGTTGAATGGTATCAAATTGTATTTTTGGACTTCAATACCCAAATATGAAAATTCGGCTCCAGGCCCCTTTTTTTTTTTTTTTTTTTTTCAAAAAAATTTTTATTGTAGAGGCCTCACCAAAAGGCTTCTAACAAGCCCAAATTCGTTATCAGGCTAGTCAAGTTAGGCCCAAATTTAAAAGAAAAAAAAGTCTCCCCCCCAGCCCACTGTGCCATTGTGGAGAGCTCATCTGATCATTTGCCATGAAAGTATTTACAGAAAAGGCACAGGGAGGCACCTACATGCAAAAAATCTCTCACACACACACACACACATCATTTCTTTCTTTCTCCCTCATACACTTCAGGTTTTTCCATATCTCTGTATTCTATATTATCCCCTCCTACTTTTTTTTTTTTTTCTCCTCCTCCTCTCTCTCCACAGTCTGTATTGTCTCATGTTCCCATGCTCATTATGACTAAAAATAAGAATCTCAAATCTTTTCCAGATAATTTAAACTTTGAAGATGGTTCCACCACCTTGCCTCATTCTAAAAAGCCTCAAATGCAGAAACCTGTACGCAAGACACATGCTCGCAGTCGAAGTGACCTGACGTCTTCAATCCTCCGTGGGGAAGATCAATGGGATAAATACAACCAGATGTGTCAGATAGAGCAAGGGGAGGTCTTACGGCGTGCCCCTTTGGCTCGGCCAGAGAGTTCCTGCACGATAGCCAGCCTTCAGCTTGAAAACCAGGGTCACATTCTGACTCAGGAAGAAGTCCATTCAATCGAGAAAGCTCCTCCTTTGGAAGGACTAACTCAAGATAAGCCAAAAAAATCGGAGAGGCGCTCGTCATTTGGAAACTTCATTAGTCGTTTGTCTAAAGCAGTCCTCAAGCCTCGAAATAGTGTAACAAACCGCCAGAGCCAAGGGCTCAACAGACTGTCCCTGGAGAAGGAAAAATCTAACAAGCAAGCTTCGGATGATAAGGAGAATGCGCCACTAAAAAATGTAGGGGGCAACACAGCTGGTAAACGATTTGCTTCCAGGGACTATCTTCGGTTTAAAAGCAGGAAGCATCCAACAGTCCAAGAATAAGGAACGAACAGAAAAATGTCAACAAAAGCTTTAAGGAACTTGGTAATTTACTGGTGAATTTATTTTATTTGTTTTATTTTTGGTGTGTGGGTTTTTTTTTTTTTTTTTTTTTTTTTTTTTTTTTTCAGAATCCCCAATTTTACATTTGTCTGTCCCATTTCACTTTACCATATCTACAAGCAAACTGAAAAGGAAAAAGAAAAAAATTCAAATGAATTCTTTTCTTGTGTACATTTATTATGAGGCTTTAAGCTATGGTTTTTTTTTTTTTTTTTATTACTGATCCACATTTACTATTAGGAAGAAAGATATATGCAATGCAAACACAGATCTTCGCGTTTGCAAACATGGGGCATCAAAAAGACACACACACACACACACAGTATTTTAACTACCTTCACTTTTTGGCAATATTTGTTTTTAAAAAGTGATTAGAATTATAATATAACCTAAACATGAGTGTATTTATACCTTGCTTTTGTTCTTGAGAATTAACAAGGGTAATAAACACTTAGATTATTACAAGAATAATTTTTATATTTACATTCTAAAAATTAATATTTAAAACTAAGGCTATGCAATATTTATCATTTAGTATTTTATATAAGAATAAATATGAAATAATTTTTTATTCAAAATTTATAAACATTTACTTAGGTACTGCTGATAAAATCATGATACCTAAGGTTTAAATTCATTTTTAAAAATGAAAAATCTTTAATTTTAGCATAGTTGAAAGCTAAAGGATTTGATTGAAAAAAACGTATAAAGACATTTCTCAAACAGTGGGACTTGTTTTTCTGACATGCTGGTCAATTTAATTGACGGGCTGACATTTGAAAAGGTTAAGTCTGGTAGAGCAGAAATTACATAAATTTATGAATTCTAAGTGAAGACTGATCTTTCTTCATATACACAACTGATCTCTGTAGTCTGTTTACTTTTATTTTGCACTTTTTTTTTTTTCTTTTTTTTCTTTTTTTTACCTTAATCACCATTCTTTATTATCTCTTCACATAAAGTCACTCTTAAGATGTTAAAAAAACCTGAACTATGCAACATTTCAAATATTTTACAGTACACATGCTAGAAAAAGAAAACAGAAACCGTATGAACAACATACCATGCTTCACTTAAGTTTTAATTATGGCTTAATTAGACAGCATCAATTAGTTTTTTTTTTTTTTTTACTTTCCCTCTGTTCAATATTTAAATTGAAATCACATGTAACTTTTTTTTTTTAATCACATCTAACTACAGTAGTTGATGCCTGTTCATATTGTTTATGACTCATAAAAGTCAAAAAAAAAAACTGTTGAACAGACACACATACACTGCACTTTATTTATATAAAATGTGTAATTATTTACACTTTTATTATTTTATTTAATCATAATCCAATACCCCCAAACAATATTTTTCAAAAAAAAAAAAAAATGCTACCATAGTGATAATAGTTTGAGAAGTATGGCCCTGAAACTGGCCATTTTTAATGACATCTTGCCTCTTCAATTGTCTTCATGACTTTTATATTCTCAGAAACTGGGTCCCATACAGTGCAGTCAGTGCCAACTTCATATTAAGTCTTTGGCAACTTTATCATTGAGATAGTAAATCTTATATAATGGAAAAAAAAAATAGATCTTCTAATTCTTTTTAATTCTCCCTCTTAGCGTTTATCAGTATATTTAAGGAAAAGGTTTTGTTGCTACTAATGTCATATGTAAATTAAAGGCAGTTGTCCTGTATTTGTGTTTGGAGTTTATGTATATCTTCTGTTTTCTTGACTAATATTGACTATATTATCGACATATATCTTGGTTATATGGAGTTTTTTTTAGAATTGATAGATATTATTTTCAAGGTTAGGCATATAGAAATTGCTAAAAGTCGGAGTTTCTTGTGCTCAGACAAGTTGTTCTTTTAAGTAGTCACTCTGCCTAGTGCTAAATGTTAATGTTTTTCTCTCCTCTAAAATGCAATTTGCATCCTTGACTTTTTGCTACATGAACCATATCTCCTCTGTAGATTACCATCTTGTTGACACAGCCATTAGTCATTTTAATTACGTTTTTGAATCGTTGTTTCAAGATGTATACAGCGGCTGAATTTTTTGTTTCTGTAGGTAAAGCTGTTCCTATCACCTCCACTAACCACTCACCAGTTATGCTCCTGCCATAACTGCCCTGATTCTCTGCCATAACTGCCCTGATTCTCTGCCATAACTGCCCTGATTCTCTGCCATAACTGCCCTGATTCTCTGCCCTAACTGCCCTGATTCTCTGCCTGATTCTCTGCCCTAACTGCCCTGATTCTCTGCCCCTGCCCTGATTCTCTGCCCTAACTGCCCTGATTCTCTGCCATAACTGCCCTGATTCTCTGCCCTAACTGCCCTGATTCTCTGCCCTAACTGCCCTGATTCTCTGCCCTAACTGCCCTGATTCTCTGCCCTAACTGCCCTGATTCTCTGCCCTAACTGCCCTGATTCTCTGCCCTAACTGCCCTGATTCTCTGCCCTAACTGCCCTGATTCTTGCCCTCTGCCTGATTCTCTGCCATAACTGCCCTGATTCTCTGCCATAACTGCCCTGATTCTCTGCCATAACTGCCCTGATTCTCTGCCATAACTGCCCTGATTCTCTGCCCTAACTGCCCTGATTCTCTGCCATGAGAATATGAGTTCAAACCTGTTGCATGTTTAAGTTTAAAAGCTGCCCTTGCTGCAGCTCCCAAGGCTCCAGTTCCTTGTGTGTTTTTGTAGAAAAGTTTGTCAGCTTCTTCAGTAGATCTAGACTTGTTTGCTTAGTGGAAGTCATGTATTTTGGCTGCTAAGTTTAGCCTGCTTTTAAGTACATAATTTTTTTTTTCTTCTATATCTATCCCCAATCCCAGAAACTTGTGATGGAGCCGACCAGTCAGTGTTTTTTTTTTTTTTTTTTTTTTTTTCCATACCAGTGGCATGTCTGAAAGTGTCCTTTTTATGTCCAGTTTGGTTATCTCTCCTGTTTGTAAAATTTCTTTTTTTTATCAAAGGCAGGTCTACTAAACGGTGCACTATTACCTCCTGTTGATGGGCACTGGGGCGATGCCCGAATTACCTCCCTTCCCCTACTCTATCACATGGCCTCTCGCGTGACAACGTTAAATAAAATCTTATTATATTTAATGTTGTACACTCCTCTCCATATTAGTAGATTTCAATGCTCCCCCCCCTCTCTATCTCACTCTGGGGAATCGTCTTTGTGAGTGGGTAGGTTTACTGGTCTTATAAGAGTGCATTTCATAGCTGCTTTTTATATATATATATATATATATATATATATATATATATATATATAAACTGGTTTAGATTAGACTTGTGGTTGAATTAATTTTTGCACTGTTTAAGTTACTATTTTATAGTAATTTGAACATTCACTCTTATGGTTAAGGGTACAGGAATTTGTCGGCTGTTTTTATTTTCTATGGGGAGATAGTGAACTTATTGTTATTAGTGTATAGTGGGTTATCAGTTATAGTGAAGTGTATGGTTTCAGACGATCAGAGAAAGTTTGTAGTGAACAAAACAACATCTAGATATAAAATTCAAATGCTAAGCATTGACTCATTGATTTGTTAGAAATTTAAAATGACTCAAATTTACAAACTTCGCTTAACACACATGCAAAAGTAGGTACCTCTACTAAGTCACGTAAAAAAGCAGCATATTGCAAAAAAAAAAAAAAAAGCCCATAAATCAACGAAAACAGTTTTGTCTCAATATGTTATTAATTGAAAGCTAAAGCATTAAATTACTTACAGTAAGTAAAATATTCTGGTGTATTTCAGATATCAATTATATAGATTGGAATGTCAAATAATTGCTTTTTTTTTTTTTTTTTTTTTTTTTCTTAAAAGCGGCCATTTTCTTAAATTTTAAGAAATTTGTAAACAAAAAAAAAATTGATTTTAAACTTCCTTTTTGACACGTTATTTGAGTAAAATTAGAAAATATAAAGTTAAATTAATCTGATTTGTAACAAACAGTACTTACTTATAGCATAAAAAAAATTGTATCCAAACATTTCTTAATGTCTGAATTTTTTCATGTCTTTATTGACGTTATCAAAGTAATTGATGATGAGGTGATGACAGTCTACTATGGATGATCAAAATTGACAATTTTTGCAAAGTAAGCGAACATGGTTTTTTGTTTTAACTAGTACTTTTTAAATATTAACATTTTTATTCAGCAATTATGTAATATTTATTTTTTATTTCATACTTTCTTAATTAGATAATTGTTTAAACTTTTTAAATCATTACATAATTGTTCAAACTTTTTTTTTATTGGGTAAAAATTTTTTAAACTTTTTAATTAGATGATTGATTGAATTCTTTTAATTAATTAGATGATTGATTGAATTCTTTTAATTAATTAGATGATTGATTGAATTCTTTTAATTAATTAGATGATTAATTGAATTCTTTTAATTAATTAGATGATTGATTGAATTTTTTAATTAATTAGATGATTGATTAAACTTTAATATTTTAATCCAATACCCTAAACAATATTAGAAATCGCTGTTATCTATAATGGTGAAAAGACTTTCAGAAATACTTTGTGGCCCTAAAAAGGGCCGTTTTTATCTTTCATTTCCTCTTCATTCGTCACCATTGCACAGCTAACTTTCAAAATGCAAGTCTTGCAAAACGGAGCAAACTTCATATTTGGTCAAATGATAGTAATCAGTTACATCATCAACATATGAAATCATATAAAAGTGATTTTCATATTTTTTTGATGTAATCGATGTTTTCACAGTTGATACCATCAACTGTCCAAATATGACTAATTGTGTCTAACTATGTTTCCAGTAAGTATTTCTTTCAGGACTTGTCCATGTTCAGGATAGTTAGCTTCCAAAGAATCGATTGTCATTTGTTTTAATTTTTTCTGTATGTCAGCCTTTTTCTTTTTTTTTTGCTGGTGGTCTTCCTTAATCTTCAACCTTTTTA